GTTATTGCCTCCATGTGTCATGCAGATTCAGAGCTCAGTGATTTAGGTTAAAGGGTTTATCAATGGCTGGGCAGCCAGGAGCCATCCACCTCCAGCTCGGTGGCTCAGGTTAAAGGATGGAAATGAAGCTCCATAAAGTGATCCTGGTGTAGCAGTGAGCACAAACACCTCAAATGCAAGGTTTCCATTCCAGATGGAAGCATTTCCATTCTTTTTTTTTTCACGTACCATAAGAGGACAGCAAAAAACACCCAAAATATTCCCCCCAAAGGTCATTTCTTTCAAGGTCTCCCCAAAAAGTGCAGGTCAAAAAAGTCCTGGGAGAAACTAGAGGCTGTTTACCAATATTAATATTCAACATCTCACACGCAGGGACTTTTGTGCTCTTTTCCTTCCTTTGATGAAAGGATTTAGGAGCTTTAATGGTGGAACATCCTGACCTGTGCGGCTCCACATCCAGGGTGTCCACAGTGGCCTGTCTGTCCCTGGGCAGAGCCCTGTGTCCCCAGCAGTGATGACCCCTCTTCGTTATATGTGAATAGCTGGGAAGATGCTTTTGTCCTTTTTCTCATCCTTTTATAAGCATAGAAAAGAAGATGAAGCTGCTGTGAAAACCACACAGTGTTTTCAATGGGGCTGAATGACCCTGTTGGGGCTCTGCTGGTCCATGGGGTGTCCATGGGAGAAGCTGGGGCTGCTTTCCCAACCCCAAATCTTAAATCACCCATGTATTTATCACTCAGAGCACTCTAAACCAGCGTGTGGCAACTGTAAAGACTTTTAATCATCTAAAGGATTCTGTTCTCTTTGGGAAGTGCATTGCTCTCTGTGTGACTTATTCCTCTCTAGATCGATGTACGTGGGGGTTTACAGGCACATGTGCCCTTGTATCTGCTTGTGGTTAGTTGATAATGCAAAACCATCTGGGCTGTCGTGTTCTTTCCCATGTATCCCTGTGGTACAGGACACAAAATAACGTGAGGGTTAAGAGGAATACAATAATGTGGAGGATGGTATTGTTCGTGCTGGGTGAAACCCTGTGAACACAGCAATTGGCATCATTTCCCTTGCAAATTGAGCAGGGAAGCAAAATACCATTTATGAAACTGTAATTTATTCTCTGGGAATCAGGCACTTACAGCGTTGTCTTGTCGCAGGTGAAGTTACAGAACGGGAGGAAATAGATGAATGATGAACGTGACAGCATCCCAGGGTAAAGCATCACAGCGGCAGCCTTGGGAAGCTCCTGAGCTCCCTGCACAGACTACGTTGTGTTCTCCTTAGGACATTAAACCTCCGGGCTGGCTGCAGCCAAACAGGCAGCAGCAAGGTCCAGGGAGGTCCCTGCACTCCATTGCCTTCATCCTGCTGCATCTCCTGCTGGGGAGCCCTTCAGAAGCCAAATAGCAAAGTCTGGCTCATTACTTTCCCCTGCTTGCAATTAGGCCCTTCCTTAACGATCCTCTTTCTTGCAGATGTGTATATTCTTCTGGTTTGGTCCTGTGCAACTAAAACCAGGCAATGTGGACAAGCAAAGTCACCCCTCCAGTGGGAAAACCACCACTGCATCAAACCCCATCATCAGCTGCTCCACAGGAACTGCAGGAGATGCTCCATGACCTGATTCCTTGAAAGCTTCTTTTTTTTGTCTTGGATTTTACTCCCCATCGCTCTTAGCTCTTTTTCTTCTGGCCAGGAGGTGACTCTCCAACAGGGGCATCCCTTGGTAGCCAGCAGTGGGTGTGGAGTCATTGCAATGGGGATGGGAAGAAAATGAACATAACGTGCACAAGATGGGGACACAGCACACTGAAGTCAAGGGGAGATTAGGAGGCCTGGCCTTATCTTCTGGCATGGGGCAGTTTGTGGACCTCTTAGAGCTGTGCATCCTGGCTTGTGGTCGTGCTCTGAACACGTCTTATGTGTTTCTTAAGGGAAACATCAGAAAATCCCAGACTGGTTTGGGTAGGAAAGGACCTCAACATCACCCAGTTCCAACCCCTGCCATGAGCAGGGACACCTTCCACTAGAGCAGCTTGCTCCAAGCCCCATCCAACCTGGTCCTGTGACTTCTGCACCAGAACCTCTCCAGGTTTCACCCAAGCCCTGGATCCCGCCTCTGCCTTGGGAACGGGGCCCTGGCAGGGAAGGGAGGAAATTCCTGATCTTCCAAACAAAGTTTCAGATAAAGAAATTAATTAAGCAAAGACCTTAAATGCATTATTGCTGGTGGTGACTGTGTTGTGACTGGTACCCGACACCCCTCAATGGGATGAGGGTTGTCTCAAGGGCTGCCTCCAGGAGCATCTGGGGTTGATACCATCACGCACAGCAGGGTGCTGTGAGCTGAGGTGTGCTTTTGGCACGCTGCTAAATCCCAATCCCTGCAATGAGCTCCTTGGGGCAGGAGGGGGAATTGCCACGATTGGTGCCGGGGCATCGCTCGTCTCCCTGCGGCGCTTGCCGAAGGTGATGGTAAAAGGGGGTTCGTGACCCAAAGAGCTATTGCCGGCTGTAATAGCGTGTCACGTATTAAAGGAGCATGTTTGAAACCACATTAGATTATTAAAATTCATAGGAGTGATTTATAGGGGTTTTTAAAAACAGCAGCTTGCCAATATAAATTGGCTTAGGAAAGTCAACTGTAATCCACCCAGGTCCAAATAATGACATTTCCTCCAATACATCCAAAAAGCTGAAAAGCAGAAAATAATACCCAGGCTCCAGAGATAAGGCGAGGACCCAAGGGAAAGAGGACTCTGAAATATTCATGCAATCATAGATTGGATGGTGGAAACGGCCGTTCCCAGCGGCTGTGTTTAGGGACTGATGAATTTAGTTACTGTACCTTTATATTTATTGCTCAATAAACAAGACAAGCTCCTTTACGACGCTCAGCAAGACTAATTTAGCTATTTTAGCACTAAGGAAATGGCTTTCCTGGGCAAGATGAGGGTTTGATGGCTCTCGATGAAATCAGGAGGCTTCTCGTTTAGCCAAAGCAGTGGCTCTGGTGGTGCTGTGAGTAACAGGCTGGAGACCCAGATTTAAGGATTAAACACCCCTGGTCCAGACCTGCAGTGGGTCGGGGTGCCAGGACCCAGGCTTTGGGATACTGCAGCCTCTCGGGGCTGCCTGCAGGGATGAAGATGTTCCAGCTCTTGATTTTTAAGGATTATTTTTCGAGGTAGAAACGGTCCCTATAAAGGTTTTACAGCAGCGTCACCGGGATTAAACCTGGCTTCGTAAATGTGTCAGCACACGAAACAGGGATGCCCGGGTGGCGTTAGTGCTAAATGACCTTTCAGATAGTTAGGGCTTTATGGGATATTATAAATCCTCCCTGTGTTGGCAGGGTTATAACCAGGACATTAGCAGAAACATCTTCTCCAAGGAGTGAACCCAGCGTTTGGAGCTGGAAATGCCCAACTCAATTTTGTCTTAGTTATTTCTGGAGCTGAAGATGCTGATGATGAGCTGAGGATCTGAGCTGCTTCCAGCAGCAATTGGAACGTGCACGGTCAAAAGGAGGTTTCTTTTCTTAAAGATGGGGTTTGAACACTCAGGTGGGGGGGGTTGAGCCCACTTGTATTTCCAGCAGCCAAAATCAAAGCGGTACAAACGTGTTACTTGGGGGGGTTTAATTCCTTGGTTTCTAAGGGTTCAGATTAATATTGTCAAGCTTTTTGTTTTTATTGCCATGAAGGCAGGGAAAGTCCTTTTTAATGAAAGCCACAAGCTTTATACAATACCTCGACTCCGCAGCTGCTATCTGAAGCACCATATTCCACCGAACTTACATGAAAATCCCCTGAGTGAGCAGCTCTGATCTGTTTCTTCACCTCTTGTGTTGCCACTGGGAAATAAACCCAGTTTTTATGCTTTTATTTATTATGAAGGATATATTTAGACAATCTGTGCTGCAGTTTAGCAGTTTCTAAAGCTTCAGGGTGTTGTTTGAAGCCACTCTTCCCTCACCTGCTTATTGAAACCCTCTTTAGAGAGTGCTGCTGGGCTCGGGCTCACTCATTTATCCCCCGCAGCCCTTCGCTGTGACTGTCCTTTGGCATCGAGAGCAGCAGCAGAGGAGAGGACGGGGCTGTTCCTCCGGACAGCTCATCAATAAATGGTGTTTCCCCTGTCCCAGGGCTGTTGGGGCTGGGCTCTGCTTTGCCACGGACACCAGGGAGATGCCTATAGGGATGCTGGGGAGGGACTCTTCATTAGGGACTGTAGTGACAGGACAAGGGGTAATGGGTTAAAACTTAAACAGGGGAAGTTTAGATTGGATATAAGGAGGAAATTCTTTCCTGTTGGGGTGGTGAGGCACTGGAATGGGTTGCCCAGGGAGGTTGTGAATGCTCCATCCCTGGCAGTGTTCAAGGCCAGGTTGGACAGAACCTTGTTTGACGTGGTTTAGTGTGAGGTGTCCCTGCCCATGGCAGGGGGGTTGGAACTGGAGGATCTTAAGGTCCTTTCCAACCCTAACTATTCTATGGTTCTATGATTCTACTTTGCCAGCAGCTGATTGCCTCTGCATCCCACCTGGCATCAAACCCCTTTGTGTGTTTAGGTGAGCTTCAAGGTGGGAATGCCCATCCCACCTCAGACATTGCAGATCAGGTTGAAGCTGGGCTGGAAAGGGCCCAAGCAGGGCTTTAAACTGGGGCTTCTGCAAAGAGCCAGCAGGTAAAGTGGTGCTCCACTGGCAGCAGTGGGAAGAGCTGACAGCAGCAATAGCTGAGTGAGAGTAGGATTAACTGGAAACTGATTGCACTTCCAAGCATGAGGCATCATACCGGGACCTTGGAGGGCTCTATCCTGCCTCTGCCGATGGCTTGGCCTGAGGTTTGTGAGCAAAGCAGCAAAATAAACCCCCTTCAGCCCTTGACAACTGCATTTAGAAGCTGCTCTTTAAGAGGAACCAGATTCCCAACCCTCCGCGTGACGGGCACGTGCTGCGGCACGAAGAAAGCACCACTCAGGCCGACTCACTCGAGCTCCTTTATTCTAGCTTTATTTCTCTTGTACAAGTAGCCACAGGCTAAAACCTAAACAGAGCAAACTACGAAAAGAAAAACAAGAAAAAGAAAGGGTTTTGTTTTATTATTTTCCTTTTATACAGAGCTAACAATCATGGGATCAGTGGGATTTCAACATCGAGACAGTTCAAAGGAAGGAAGGTAGAAAATAAACAGTAGAAAAGTGCTTTGCAATTTGGGTTTTTAATAGTACTCTTAACTGCTGATTCCCGAAGAGGGCTGGGACAAAGGCTTAGCACCATCTTTATTATCACTTTATTACAGATGTAAAGATACTGCAAGTTCAAACGATGGGAACACGATCAAGGTAAAAATCCCTCTTTGCTTTGTAAGTAAGACCCTGATCCAAAGCCCCGTGAAATCAGGCTTTTCCCTGACTTGTTGGGCTTTGCACCAGCCTCATCCCTTCTTGTTACACGATGCTGAGGCTCAGACTCTGCTCCCGGAGGCAACCTGGAGCCGTTTCACTGATTTCCAGCATTATGGAGGGTTCTGGAGCAGTGGCCCTGCACCAGGAGCTGGTGCTCACATGGAACCACTTCCCTGCCCAAAGCCCCAGCCCTGTAGCCTTAAATTATAGGTTTAAACTAACACCTTCCTTTTCCTTTCCCTTTTAATTTGGCGGGCAAGGGAAGTAAATGAGCAGGCATCACGTTGCCAGACGGGATCTTTAATCCCCCTCCACTGGCGCAGCATGGGGAGGGATAGGTTTCCAAACACTGTTAGCACAGATGCAGTAGTTCCCTCCGTGTCACTGCCATTTGTTTTCATAAGCTTTTCATTTCCTTTGTTTTAAGCGAGCCTCCCAGACTTCAGCGCTGTCAGTCAGCTCAGAAAGGGCTCAGGCACTGCACTGATCCCCCCTTGGATGCTATGGGATGGTTATCCTGGAGGTACAGCCTCACAGGCAGCAAAAACCTTCCCTTCACCCCCCAGAAGCAGCAACACTCCTATTGCCAACTCAAAATGTACAGTCCCTTGGTATAATTTTGGGTGGAAGCTGTACAGATTCCCAAACTGGTCCAGCACTTCAACACATCAGCACTTTACAAAGCAAGGAAGAGGAGAGATAACGGCAGACAAATAAATACCTGAATCCAACGGCATGAAAATACCCTGTCACAGCATCAAACTATTCCCTGGTCAACTAAAGATAATGTGGATACTATCCCTGAGGTAGCAGCCATCTCTGGTAAACTTGAGAGCTCCAAGAATAGGATGTGCCCATTATGGGTTACCAAAACCAAAATAAAATAATAAAGAAAACAGCTTTTTGGATGCTTTGTTCCTTGGTGTAATTTCAGCTGGAATTTTCTGCTATGAGCCAGGAAAGTGAGAGGGTTTGTTTGGATCTGCCCAGAAAAGGCAGCAAGTTGATTTAGTGGAATTATTTGCTTGGAAAAATAGTAGAGGACGAGATTTCTACCCCAAACACAGGCAGTTGCCAGTGGCTCGCACTGATCCAACATCTGCCTGTTACCCAGCGGTTTTATCTCCAGAGAAAACTCAATTCCTCCCATTAAGAAAAAGGGAAAATAAAAAGGAAAAAGAAACAAGGAATCTGGCAAGTTGTTGCTTGAATGTTTGAGGTGACAGCTTGGCTGGTTCAGCCCTCTGTCCTGGTACACAAAATGATGCCCAAAGCCCTTTGCTCCACGGATGCAGCAGAGCTTTGCCTCGAGGCTCAGGAGGCCAGTGGCACAGGACAGCAGCAATGCTCCTGTTCAACCAACAGCCCGGCCAGATCCCAAAGGTGACTCCTTTGAAGAAGCCTCTGATTCCATGAAAACGGGGACGTGCTCATGGAAGACCTGGGAAGGATGTTTTTAACACCTATGAAATAACATCCAAACCCCCGGCAGCACACGGGGACCTGCAGCTCTGCATCTATCCAAGAACAACGTGTCTACCCAAGTACAGCTGTTTACCCAAGTACAACATGTCCACTCAAGTACATGTGTACCCAAGTACAACATATCCACCCAAGCACAACATATCCACCCATGTACAACTGTGTCTTAAGCACACAGTAACAATCCTGTGGTTTCCCCCAAACACAGGGCAGCAGTTTGGCTGAACCAAGGACAGACTTGAAGCTGAAACCAAACAGAAGCTCTCTTTGTTCTCTTTCCCTTCTTGTTTTACAGGGTAAAGGCCAGACGTATTCCAGGTGGTGTTTTCCCAAGGTTTTGGTTGGCACAGCTTTGCCTCCGGCCTGGCTCAGGCATTGATGAATGGCAAGAGGTGCTGTTACGTGTTGCTTGCCAGCTAAGTGGCAGCCAGAGGTAATCACAGCATAAAGCCAGAACGCGCCATTTTTGAGGGGATTTTGCCCAGTTTTGTGGACTTGGGAGGCTTGGAAAACCCATGGAAGATCACATCCTCCTGCTGGATCTCCAGACTTCAAGCCTCATCCCTTCAGGGGCTGACCTGCCACAACCATCAGCATTAGGTCCCAATGGTACGGACTGACGAGCGGAAAAGAAACCCCAAAAAAGAGGAAAAGCTAAACATCTAAAAAATAGTCTTTAAAGATTTACATCCATCTTCCACCGTCTCAAACCAACACATAATCTGCACTGGTTTAAGCCATCACATTTCTGCATAATTAAACCGAAAGGAAAAAGCTCTATTCTTGACATACTATTGTCTTCCAACTAGTCAAATGGCACAGCATTTCCCTTTAATAAAAGGAAGTAGTGACAAATACTTGTTACTATTACAATATCACAATAATATGATATTAAATTAATAGCATGTTCACAGCTCCAGGAAGTCTGAGCTGAAAGCTAGTCTAAATTCTGTGTTCACTTTGGCAACAGGACTTCTTCAACGTGAACGTCGGCGATACACACACAAAGTAAAACAACATAAAGAAAAGCTGGGCTGGAGCGGGACGGCAGGAGGAGATTGGGTTTTCTTTGATATGAGGTGATAACTCGAGCTGTTTGGCATCTCCTCCTCCCTTCTGCCCTTTCCAAGTCCCGTCATCCTCCAGTTCCCACCATGGGATGGGCTGTGCTATTGGTCTCGCACGGTGCCACCAGCGCTGTCCCTCTGTGGTCTCTTCCCACCACATCTCCAGGTCCAGCATCATGCGGAAAGGAGCATCTCCCCACGGTAGGGGTGAGCTGGAATTGGTCTAATGTCCATTTCACCTCTTTGGTGGGGTAGGGAGAGGCTATTTGGGGGTTTAATGTATACATTTAACCCTTCAACATTTATTCTGACCTGCATGATGTCTACAGGAGAAGCAATTTTGATGGCAGAGGGCTACAAACACCAAGCCTCAAGAGTTTCTTGCTCCTGAGGTCAATGCCATTAACATCTGCTTGGGCTAAGCTGGGTGATTTGATCTGGAAGGACAGAGTCCTGCTCACAGCTAACCCAGCCCAGCACCAGGACACAGCACGGGGGAAGAGATGTTTGCCTTATGGTCCTCTACAATGTATTATTTACACAGTTATCAGTAGCATCCCATTGCCAAGTGGGAAGGAGATGAGGGATGTTTCTGGCACAAGGGACTCTCCCATGGGTACCATTTAAAAAAATACAATTATTACTGTTCTTCTAAACTTAAACTCATTTTCTTTCCTGATTCCTTTCACTTGTCCTTGCAAATAGGGTGACATTTGATTTGCCACCACCTATGCAAAGAGCTCAAACCTTCACATTCACCCGGTTTTAACCAACCCACGCAGTGGGGAAAGAGCCACCCTAGGTCCCTGTCCCCTGTGCGTGCTCCCATCACGTCCCACGGATGACACCAGGCTCACAAGGCTGCACCATGCCAGGACAAGCCCAAAACCACCATGGCAGGGTTGTGGCTGGTCCCTGGAGGTGGTGGGGGTCACACACAAACCCTCTCTTTGGTGTTGGGAGCTCCTCTGCCCACCCTGGGCATGGGGAAGGGGTGGCTGTTGGCAGCTCCAAGCATCCAGAATGCCTCCTGGCCACAGCCCTCCCAAGGAAATGAGCCATTTTTGGCTCTGTTCATCCTCTGGATGATCTCCTGCTAGCTGGAAATACACTGGAGGAGCTGGGAGCAGCTCAGTACCATCTCAAGGGGTTTTGGAAGAGCTGTATCAGTTTCCTCATAGATGCTCTTGAAGGGACAAAACAGTGACGTCCAGGTTCACAGCTCCCAAGGGTGTCTTATGCTGCTTGTGCTGGCACATGCCATAAATCATCCTGCTGGGAATCAGCCTTGGAGAGCAGCATGCTCATGGGCCAAGAGGGTGCCCTGGCCCCAGCATTGGTATCTGAGCACCCTGCACGCCCCACTCCATCCCAGATACACCCAGGATGGGTCGAGGCAGCCACCACCAGCACCCAAATGAGGCCTGCAAAGCAACGGTGCTGGTGAGCCAGGGGGCATCGAGCCACGTTGTCTGTGACGGCCCCAACAATCTTTAAAGTAACAAAACCATGGTACAAATCTCCACCACACAACATCACACCAGAGCCCCGCTACACGCCCTAAAAGTAAAGCTCATAATACTAGAGAAGCATCTTGCTTCGTGTGGGGCTGGGTGGGAGAGGCAGGAATTGGGGGAGAGGAGAGGATGCACGCGCACACACACACACACACACACACACACACACACACGTTTCTATCACGCTTGAGGTAGAACATTGCTTTCAAAGGTTTGGAAGTGCTTTACATGGGAACAACGACAAGAACAGCACCGAGGCGGCAGGTACAGAGCGCGACTGCTGAGGTAGGACCAAGCTTGTACTGACCAAGTGCTACACTACTTGTTTTCTGAACACGAAGGAAGACGCAGGTATCTCTGCTTCCCAGAAGACATTCATTCCGGTTGAGGTAGGTTCTGAGTTCACTCGGGTTGTCTGTCCAAGTCTTTCAGTAGCCCTCAGGCAGGCATCCTTTGACACACACACACTCTTCTTTTTTTTTTTCTTTTTTTTTTTCTTTTTTTTTCCATATTATTTAGAGTCCATCAGCAAAAAAAGTATCCTGAGAAATAGAGAAAGTGTACAAACCCATCGAATCCATGGAGAGACAGCCTTCCCGAGCCTCGAGGTTTGGAGTCAAGTCAGAAGGATTTCTCCGAATCCAGTCTTCTGGAAATAAAAAATAGATCCAAAAAGCAATCCTAAAGCTGCTGATCAGGAAAAAGTCTGGGATGCCAAGAGGAGGCTCCATTGTATCCCCGGTCTGTCAGAGATGGGAGACTTTGCCAAACTCTGCCAAGGAGTCTTTTACTTAGCAGCTGCAGGGAAAACCCATCGTGACCGTGCTCGGTAAAGCCATCGTCGGCAGGAACACACCGAGAGGTCAGAAAGATCAACTTCACAGAGTTTCCAAAAGGCTGGCTACGTATATATATATTTATATATATATATAAAAATAAAGCAAAACAAAAAAATAACAATCAGACCGTAGAAATCTTCAATTGACCTGAGATTGACAACTCGTTGTAAAGACATCACATTGGTTTCTGGTAACTCCCACGAGAGGGTTTGAGTCTTGGCAGTTCTATCCTTCATGGGCAGGACGATGGTCGGGAGCTGGAGCAGCAGCATTGCCCTGGGGGTCCGGCTGCTCCTCGATGATGCTGAACTCATCCAGAGGGAGCGTGGTTATCTGGGTTTCATCATGGGGGGCTGCTGGAGATGACTGGAGAGAGAGAAGGGACAATGCAGTGACGGGTGGCAGGTCACCAATGCCCTTAGACACGCAGCCGTCCGATCCCGCTGGACTTACCGTTGTCCCCTTCTCCTGCTGCTCCTGGGATGGGGATGCTGGGAATAACCTCTCCAGCTCGTTCATATCCGACTGCTTTCCATTCAAGTCCCGGTCGTCCCTGTCCCTGCGAGCGGCCCCATTCAGGGCGAGGCCTGAGGTGCTGCGCTGGCTCCTGGGGATCTGTGGTGTCGAGAGCTGCTCCTGCACGTTTTTGCACATCAGCAGCCTAAAAAGTAGAGATGGAGCCTGAGGGGGAGCAAAGTGGTGCCTCTCCCTCCCCATCCTTCTTCCCCCAAGGCCCAAGTCTGCTTTATCCCTGTGCTGTGCTCCTTCACTCCTGAAATCCCTCCCATAAAGTCACATTCCCTTCGCCATTAAAGTGCTTCTGCTTCACGGGAGGGGGTCAAGGCTTGCCAGAGCAGAAACAGTGACACTCCTGGGAAGCACCAGATCCCTCAGCTGGGGACTGTGCTCATTTGGTATGTTCAGAGAAGCCTGCTGGATCTGTGTGCCTGGGAGGGAGGCAGGAGAAGCACTCAGCATTCATGGGAGCTGGGATGTGCATCCTAAACTGTGCATGTGAAACAGCCCATCATCGCATCAGGGGTGTGAGACCCCCATGGGGATACCCACAAGGCATTAAGGAACCCATCACCCCTCGTGAGCAGTGACACGAGCAGCCCCTACCTTCCTCTGTACCCAAACATGAGGAAGAGGATGCAGAATATGATGCATGTGACACCGATGTGGATCCCGATGATGATGCCGGTTGTGGAGGTTTTATTGTTCTGCTCATCCTTCATGCAGTCGCACGGGGGATTCAGCACTGCCAAAAGAAAGGGGGAGAAAGGGGATCAGCATTGCTGTTTTCCTATTGCTCCTCCAGCTTTTGGGGAGCCCACATAAAGCCTGGGCAGTGCGGAGAGCAGTGTAGGGGGAGGAGGAGAGCAGGGTGGGTATCCCATGCAGGGCACTGCCTCACAACGCAGCTCCCTTGCTCCTGACACCCCAGGAAGGCAGTCACAGCAGGCATAGGACTGGAAGGTCCATAGAGAGCCAGCCCATTACCCAGGCTGCTGTTATCAGATACAACTAATGAACAAAAAAGACTCTGATGTTAACCTCTGCAAACCCTGTGTCCGGGGTGGGAGGTGAGAGGCTGCCACCACGCCAGAGCAGGCTGATACCCGATGGAAAGCACCGGGTAGGCAGATCCCAACAAGATTAGTATTTGCTCCAGCACAGACAGAGGAGTAATAACTGCCTCTTGAAGATATTCCCACTGGAAGGCTTAAAAGGCTTCCAAGTGCAGCAGGATGTTTTTTACACATAGATGAATATGAAAGGTGTGATCAGTTAGAGGCTCCCTCTGGAGATTTCCCCTTTTCTGCCACATAATGCAGTGCTCATGCTCTACAGCCCTTCTCCTTTCCAAAGCTGCCCGTTCTCCCTTCCTGGTGCCAGTGAAGGTCAAAATCTCCAGGACAGCTCCAAGAGATGCCCTGCGCCCCACATCTTACCCGAGAGTGGGCTCTTAGCACATGCATGGAGGTGTGCTCATGTTCATGGCCTCACCTCTAGCTCGAGCTTAGGGGACAAAACTGGCAGTTACAGGTTCATTTGGTCTTCTCCCCCTTAGCAAAAAAGTCATGAGGTTGGACCAACAGGGATGGGGCAAACCATGGGGCACAAAAGCCACCTCAATCGGCACCAGGCAGTCCCAGCCCAGCAGCATTTTGCTTATTTGTGATGTTGAAAACAAAGGAGTGGCCAAGATGTCCCATCTCACCTGTCCTCTCCACAGTTTCCCTCAAGGACACGAAGCGGACAGTTGAATTTCCATCTCCGTGCTGGTTATAGGCAAGGAGCTTGACTTCATACACCACCGAGGCATCTGTTCGAAGGAGACACAAGAAGAGCATTTCAGGTGTAATCATTAGTGGTATCTCCCCATGTGATGCTTCTCCAGGAATATCTCTAGGATGCTTCTTTAGGAATCCTATCAAATACCTACAGGGTCCTACAAAAAGTCTGGGGAGGGACTTTTTACAAGGGCATGTAGTGACATGTCAAGAGGAAACGGCTTTACACTGGCAGAGGGGAGACCGAAAGTCTTCATTATGAGGGTGCTGAGGCGCTGGCACAGGGTGCCCAGAGAAGCTGTGGCTGCCCCATCCCTGGCAGTGTTCAAGGGCAGGTTGGACACAGGGGCTTGGAGCAAGCTGCTCTAGGGGAAGGTGTCCCTGCCCATAGCAGGGGTTGGGGCTGGATGAGTTTTAAGGTCCCTTCCAACCCAAACCGGTCTGGGATTCTCAGGTGCTGCAAACACCCCTGTTATTGGGAAAGCACCCCAAAACCCTGGGGGAGAGCTGCAGCATCTCTCATTTAGTGGCAGCACAACACATCTGAGCTCTCTCCTGCCAACCCCCGGGTCAGGAGGGGACACGGACCAAGCTGTCACCGTACTCACCCAGGTGGGTAATGTTGTATGCTGTTACGTTGCTGGGCAGTAGCACTGGACCTGTGTACTGGGAGAGGTGGACCTTGCGGTAATACAGCTTGAAGCCTTCATGCTGGCCCAGTTTGATGGAGGGCTCCCACGTCGCCTGGACAGCAGTGCTGTTAATGACTTTAATAAAGAGGGACGGCATGGCTGGGACTGAAAGAGAGAGAAAGACAGTGGGTTGCATGGGCTTTCATCACCTGCATGCTGAGAAAGCCCCCAGCAGCCTTTCCCCGCGGCCACTGCACCAAGGAATGTGCTAGGTGAGACTGGGAAACATCAGATCAGAGCAGGTCCTGGTTTAACAGCTTTGAATCTCTTCAGGGAGCTGTATGAGTTGCCAAGGGTTTCCTCTGCTCGGTTCAGCAAGCAGAGAGGCTACTTTTACACTCTGGTTGCAATCTGATGCTCAGCCCTGTCGGGTCAGGGCAGGAATGCAGGACTTTGGCAATGCATTCCCAAATTCCACTTTTCTGCCCTGGCCCTCAGGCTAGTGAGGACCTTTCAGAGTGATTAATCCCCCAGGGAGGAAGGAACCAGAGGGGATGGAGCTGGAGACATCCATCTTATGGGCGTGCTAGGTACCTGCACTGGCTTGCATGGTGCACGGGAGCTCGCTCTCCTGTCAGCTTTAGGAAGGTTTGTGATTCTGTGCTGGGGAGTCAGGAGAGAGCCAGGGGATGGTCATGAACAGCCCTAAATAGCTTTGCAGCCTGAGATCCCTGCACAGCTGTGGCTGGTTCCTTTTGGAAGGCAGGCACTTACCTGGCCTTAGGGGCGCACGGGGGTTTAGCTGGGAAGATGTCCCTGCTGCTGCCCGGTGTCACCGAGGCCTGAGTCCACCAGGATGCCTTTTGCTCCAGTCAGTGCCCCAAAACCCTGCCCTTGTTCTAAGGGGGGTGTCGCAACAGGGGGTCAGGGCCATTCTCTGCCCAGGCCCCCATCCTGCCCCGTCAGACTGGGCTGAGAGCCCAAGATTTGCAAACCAAAGCCAATTTTCTTGTGATGCAGATCTCTGAGTTTTCCAAAGCTGGTTCTGCACCAAACCCTGCCCTGGAGCCCTGTGCGGCACTGGGACACACAGGACCACGCTCCCCTCAAACCTCTCCCTTCCCCTCTCCCTCCCTGTCTCACACACGGATCACACCAAGGCAGAGATGGGTCTCAGCAGGACATTTCCACAAAACACCCACACCAAATGCTCCCATCGGCCTCTGGCACCATCCAGAAGGTGCAAAGCACCAGGCGCTGCAGGCTCTGCCCTGCCCAGGGCTCTGGCACCAGGAAGGAGAAGGGATTTTGGGCACTGCTGTACCAGACAGCGAGCTCAGCTACACCCTGCAGCAAAATCATCCAGCAGAACAGCCCTGCTCCTCCAGCAGCCTCCAGGCTTCGAGGTAGAGCTATTTTTCCAATCCCACCTGATTGCAAGCTCATAAGTTTCCAAATATAAGGATTGCTGGGCTTGTGTCAGATTGATGCTGGGTTTTGGCTTGTTTTTTCCCAAAGGAGGAATAGTGCAAACCTGGCCTTTGGCAGAGAGTTCAGCACAGCCGCTTTGTGAGCCGTGGTGAAGAGCAGATGAAATGTGACCGTGTCAGTCTAAGACTGATGAGAGCTAAAAAGGGCATTTCCTCAATGTAACAGTAAAAGCAAAACCAGACAGCACAAGGGTTTGGCTTTTCCCAGGCACTGAGAGCTCAAGCTCTCCCACAGTTAGGGGATGGAAAGACATCACTCCTGGTGAGCAGGAGGATGTGGGCAGCTCTGTCTCTTCCCAAAGCGATGCTCTCCTTGAGGTTGCAGGGGCATTGCCTGATGTCCTCCAAACAAGCATGGCGAGAGGACCAAGCCCCTGTTGAGTGGTGAGCATCTTCATATGGATTCAGGAGGAAAGACTCAAGAGCAGGTGTCCTGGATCAGGTTAATGAGATCCCATTGCCTGAGTGCTGCCAATGGGAAAAAAAAATGGGGGAAAAAACCCACTTCTTTCTTGCTAGGATTCATTCTGATGTGCATTTCATTGGTGGGAGGCTGTACTTTGAAATTCCTGGGTGCAAACCAGTAAATTCTATTCATACCAGAATGTTCTATTCTTCCCAATACTACATAGTTTTGCAATGCAATTAAATACTCTTTTCTTCTAATTCTCCCGATTCCTTGTAGGGCAGAATTAGGAATTGTCTGGATCCCCCTCTGAGAAGCTGGACCCTTGCTTCAAACATCCTTTTCCAAAGCACAGGTGAAAATGCCACAGAAAGGGAAATCACATTATCCCGTGGACAAAGAAACACTGATGTGGGCCATCCCGATTTGTGAAGAGTTGGCTTTATTTTATGGTTGCAGAGCCTTACATTTCATAAAAACCACAAGAATCTCTCTCCTTCAAAGTATGGAATATATAGTATTTATTCAAACTGTGATTATATATATGTATAATATTGACTATATGTATGCACTCGCAGAATGCATGTGCTCTTTATGAAGTGATTACACAAAGAAGTGTATACAGATGGAGTATATCTGTGTGTGTATAAATATACGCACACACAGCAGTGTAGAGGTGCTTCACAGAAGTATATATAAGACATAATATGGATCTACTATAAGAGAGGCATCTCCCTCATGCTAAGGGCTGGGATACTCGTTTTCCTCTTCCGTGCTGTTTGGAATTTTCCCCAGGTCATTTCAACTTTCTTCTTGAAGGCGTCTTTAGCCGAAGATGACTAAAGGAACAGTCTTCACCCTAGAGAAATGTCAAAAAGTCCTGGAGAAAACCCTAAAAAGCATTAAAAGACAAGAGCAAGGAGTGTGTGCTGCTTAATGAAGCAGAGAGGGTTTGAGATTCAAAATACCACAGCAGAAATGGCATAAAGGAGAACGATAGGGAGGAGCTGGAAGGACCTTCCTAGTGAGAGAGGTTTATGGAGGACAAGGTTCAGCTAGCTAGTTTCTCTACAGCACCTTCCCTTCTCCTTTGCATCACTGGCACAAAGGAAGCAGCATGGTGTTTCTAGAAAGCATTGGCGGCTTCAGCCAAGCGCACTCTCAGCATAGTCCTAGCCATGAAAAGCTGACCTCCCCGAGTCAAAAGCAGCCCTGCTCCTCAGTGCCTTCACCATACTCCTGCTCCAGACAACACCAGTATAACAGACCAGCCCCCAGCTGGCAGTGTCTCTGCTGGCCACTCTGACAAGCACTTTCCCCACCAGGCAGGACACGGCAGCGTGGTGACACAGGAGATCCTGCCAGCTCAGGGCTTTACGCACATCTCCGTGGACATCTCAGAGATGGGATGGCAACACTGAGACATGGCGTGTCAGGGAAATCCCATCCCTTTCCAAGGCTGTTAGACAGGTCCAGGGGCTCCCCAAGCCCCGGGGAATCACAGCTCTCCAGTGCACTTCAGGGAGGTGAAGGGTGAAGAAGAGGCAAGTCCGACAAAAGCCACTGGATCCTGGCTCTTTGACCTGCTCCCTCCTCTCTGAGCAGAAGACAACAGGTACCCAATGAAGGAAAGCGAACAAATCAAGCCAGAACCAGGCTTTTGAATCCCTTTTTATCTTCCTACAAGGCAAATGCAAACTGGCATTGAATGATCTTAACCAAGCCAGCTTGTCCATCCTGACCATTACTGCTGAAGCTTTGTTACACAGGACAAGGGTAGCAGAGCAGGACAGTGCTGCCTTGAAACTTCAGAAAGCCAGGAAGTTTATGATCCCATTATCAGATACCTAACTATCCCTATTGAAGGTAGTAATGACAAAAAGTCCTCTCTCACTTGACCCATGCTTCTGCAGAACCACCAAGCTCTCTGAAGCATGGCTGCCTTGCAGCTCCAGTAGCTGAACTCAGAGCATCGGGTCAAGGAGTTTCAAGTTTTGCCTTGGTCCATCCTTCTGCCTCTAAATTGGCAGGAAAAACAAACTTCAAGGGTGACTGATTCCTTGTGGAGAACCAGGGAAAATAAACTTGCAGGGAACAACCCAGTAGGGCGAGGATTTATTGGTGGTGTACCTTACATGCTAGTAGTAAATGTAGTAAACATCTGCAAGGGCTGACAACGGAATGAGAACTGCATCTCCCACGTAGATGTTAACACACTCTTTCATGTGATCCAAAGTAACATCCTCACACCCAAGGCCCTCTCTGCTGCAAATTCATAACTACTGAGCGTTTGCGAGAATGACGCGATGCTCCTAAGGAATCAGTTTCCTTACGTGAGACAAACCAGGATGCAGAGGTGCTGGAGAGGTACATGAGTCTCCAGGAAAATGTTCCTAAAATGCCAGCTGACAGATCACACCGGGACTGTGGTTTCTGTCTGGTGTCCGTGTGCAAGAGTCCTGCACCAGAGCACCCACTTTCTTGCAGGGGAAGCTAACTGGAAGCCATGTCTGGGAGGCCAAGTCAAGGAAAAAGCCTTGGAGATCACCCTAACTTCCCACTGCAATGGAAGGCAGCTCCAAGACAAGGATTTGTAGGTCAGGACAGCTCACCTCTGGTGTGATCCCTCCCAGGTAGAGCAGAAAAACTCTCAAATTTAAAGAACTGTGGCACTTTTCAAGTAAGGGCTGTGAGTACCGGAGCTGCTGGAGGATGCTGAGATGCTGCTTGAGCAGGAAATCTGCATTTAGCAAGCAGTTGAGGAAAAGCCCAGAGCAGCTGCAGTGCACAAGACCAGCCAGGCTTGCACTCACCCCCTGCTACAACATCAGCAGTGAGAGGCAACACGATCAGTCGACCCCAGTGTAACGATACAAGTGAGCTTTCCACAATACCCCGAGTATGAGGAGGAGCAGGAACACGGAGCAGCCACACCACAGGCTATGTGCCAAAGCTCTCTGGGGTGACTGCTGCTGCTGCTATGCATAGCGACTTTCAGCATCTGATGGTCCAAGCGCAAAGCGTTCCTTACCTTCTCCCAGCGTGCTCACCACTGTGACTTCTGAGGCTTTGCTGGCACCCCGGGAGGTGTAAGCCTTTATATAAAAGCTATAGCTGGTCGAGGGCTCTAAATCAGTCACTAGCTGCTGGAAGGTGCTCTTGCTAACAGCCTCTTGATACTCCATCTCTACAGGATCTGAAGTGCAAAGAAAGAGAGGACAGAGCAGCATTAGGCTTTGCAAGAGGTAAAGAGGCTAAACAGATGTTGGAAGCAGCAGTTTTGGTCCCTAAGGTGGTTATGTATCTGCCCATGTAATTTTATGCTTACACTTCAATGCACTTCACCAGAGACTTAAGTGGGCAGCAAGATTTGACTGTGTGGCCTCATCCTTCCCAGCCTTTTGGTATGTACAGCAGCATTACTGCCTTGTCAATGTCTTACAGAAACAGGCAGGTGATGGAGAACACGGTGGCAGCACTGTCTACAGCAGTGCAGGTCTGCTTTACCCAGAGGACGCTCTGGGCAGTGGGTAGAGCACTGTACCTGCGGCTTTCCGAATGTGCAGCACGTAGCCGATGATCTCCTTGGTGTTCTGCAGAGGTTCTGTCCAGGACACCTGGATGGTGGTGGCAGAGACGGTCTCAGCCTTCACGCTCTGCGGAGGCCCCGGCAGCCCATCTGCCCACAGCACCGTGAGGCGAGCGCTGGCTTGCGTGGAGCCGGCGCTGTTCTCGGCGATGCACTGGTAGATGGCTTCATCCGCCTGGTTGATCCCATAGATGGAGAGAGTGCTGCGTGGGGACACGAGAGGGAAAGCATCTCACTGGGTGCACTGCAGCGGGCATCCCTCCCCTTCAGCCACGCCATGGCCACCCACGCTGGCTCTGATAGCAGGGCACCCCACACGCCTGTTTCCACAGAAAGCACAGGGAGTGGATGCATCATTCCCTAGATCCCATGATGGGAAAGACTGTCTCAACTTCAAGAGGCTGTGGTTAAAGTACAGCCAGAAAGGGACACGGGGTGGGATGGGGAATGGCAGGATCCAAATTCAGGAAGATCCCAGCCACGCTGCAGAGATAAATCTGTGGCAACTGCATCCATTTACCCAAACCAGCTTTAACTGGCTTGGTTCCAGTACACACCAGTGATGCCCACCCAGGCACCACACACGGTTGCTAAGCCAAGTCCAATCAAACGCAGCCAAAAAGCCCTCTGGTGATGCTCTAATTGCATTATATCACATTAGAGCAGTCTTAGGGTAACAGTGGGATTAGCTGATTTATCCAGCAGGGTTACAGCTGCAACTCCTGCTCCTGCATTTCCAGCAACACCATCACCACAAGCCAAAGAGCCAAAGCTTACAAGCAAGTCACAGGTTTTGTCTGCAAAACCTCAGGGCAGCAAACAGGATGGCTCTTCCAGCCTGCTCTTGGAGGCTCCACATCAGGCTTAGATGCTGGTTTCAGCCTCCAAGATAAAGACAGGCACTGGCTACCCTGGTGGAAAACATCCCTGAAGGAGGGGGGAAACCCAGCCATGTACCAGCTTCCTGAACGAGTGCATTCCTGAGCCCAGTGTCCATCTCTCCACCACCTCCAGAAGGGGGGTTTAGTGGCTTGATGGGCCCAGGGACAACCAGAGTTCTTGTACATGTGGCCCCACGAACCACAGGCCCTTTCTGCACTGCATGACCCTCCAGCAATGGTTGTGTACAACCGGAGCAAGTTCAGGGCCATCCCAAGTGTTGTGCTTCCCCATACCTTTCAAACAACACCAGCAAATATTGACTCAGCAATAACTGTGCAACCCATCAGCTCTATCTTGGCATGCAGCATGCAAACCAGCTTGTATGAACGTTTGTTCACAATCAGGGACCCACCAGTACAAGCCCTGCTCTCCAGGGTTTGTGCCCTTCCTCAGGAACCAAGCCAGGAACAACGTGATTCAGTTTGTGACTATCCAGCAGACACAAGCACACACAAATAAACACCCAGCGTGTCTCCCTTCCAAGACACGGGGCGGGGAGCCTCACCACACTGTGCCCAGCTCTGAGCTGGCTATGGAAAGGCAGCCTCTGATGTTGGAGATGTTTCTACCAACCCCGAGGCAGCAGCTCAGGTTATGATAAAATCTGCTTATTATGCCTTAAATACTGGTAGGATGTTCCACAAACAGGGCACCCTGGGGAGAATTTCTGAAGTAAAGGTCCAGTAGGGACCACCTAAACCCAGTGACAGCTTTGACACCACTATAAATAGCAGTGTAATTATATTCATTATTGCAAATGGTGGGGATTGACTAGTCCTAGAGATAGGCTGTAGGCGATACCCCAACAGCAATGCATAGCACAGCGCTTGCCAATGCCTCTGCTTCCACTTTAGAGCATCACCCATTTGTGCACCACTCTGGATTGATCCCTATTTCTACTTCCAGTCCTGTCCAGTTCATTTGAACTGTGGCTTGCTTCTGGCTTGGCAGGAATGCTTGGCAGACCATGGCACCTTCAAGCTTCAGCATCATCATGTTGGCTTATGATGCCAAAGCTCGCACGAGCTTTGTGGTTGCTACTTTTGCTGTGAGAAATGACCTGAACCTAACCTAATCCACATCCACTGCTTGCTTATAGGGAGAACGAAACTCTTTTCTTCTCCTGCAGTGAATTCCAGGAGGATCTGGGACTTGACTGCACATGGGTAAATCCCAAGCTCCCCTGCTGATGCGAGGGGCACTTCACGCCTTTTTAGGAGTCATAATCAAAGCTGCCTTTTATGTAAATGAAAACTTGTACATGTTAAAAGGAAACGATAAATAACCTGCCACTGCCTGCCTGTGTGTCAGAACGAATGCTGCTTCTAATGGCAGCAAAATATTGGTCTTCCTGTATTAAAATTTATTACTGCTGTTGATTTAACATTCATATTCCTGTCTTGCGAATTATCGGGGCCATGGTGTGTGAGCAAATGTTTAACAGTCATCTATTTATGTCCTGTGCCTTTGTTTCCTTGGAAACATTGTAAATGGAATATCAAATGTGATGGTTTCAGCTGATATGGAGATTTCAGAGAATCAGCCCTAAGCTCCCCTCATAGCCATGGGCTCAATGTATCTGATTAAATGGAAGGAGAAAGGTAGAGGTGGGAGGGGGCGCAGGGAGGAAGGACCCGATGTGTGGCTCAGCTGTGTCAACAAGGGCTGATTCCTGCGAGGACAGATGGCAGGAGGCAGGATTACGCCATCCCAAAGCTGCACTTGCAGCTCTGCACAAAGCAGATGTGTGGAAGGAGCAGCAGCGCTTCCGTCTGCCCCGTCAATGCAGGGATTATTTCCACGTGGCCGCTGTGCATCTGGGCACCCTGAGCAGCCGGGCCGGGCTGGCACACAAGTCAAGAGCAGCTTTCCAAGCACAAAGCAGCTCAGGAACAACAAGGAGTATTGAGGCTCCACTGCTTCCAAGCGTATTTATATGCTTTACAAAGAGAGAGGAAAATATGGGGAGAAGGGAAGAGGGGAGCCTGGCTGGAAAGCAGTGCAAGGAGTCTGATGGCAACAGCATGATGCTGGGGTCAAAGGGGAGTCCTGGCAGGATTGTGGGGTGAGCAAAGCTCCTCTCATGGAACACAGATGATGTGTTGGATGCCAGCAGTCCTGGAGCAGGACAGCACTCAGCCACTGGGAGCTAGAGCTGGGCAGAACCTCAGCCATCTCAACTGCCCCCCTGCAGAGGTCCCAGGGTGACCGATAACACTGTCATGGACAGTGAGTCAGGAGATAGTTAAGAAGTAAAACACATCCCCACAAAGAGGCCGTGGCAGGAAGCTGGGAACTTGCCTTGGGCTTTGAGAAGTTGATTTTCATGGAGATTTACACGGCTGTGTTTGGCTGTACTGTGCAAGAAGAGCCTCAGCCACCCACCACCTGGGGCCCATGTTACTTGGAATGATGCGCAGGCAATGGGGGCAATGCATTTTGGCTATGCCTGGATGAGTCAGAAAAACCAAGTGTGGAGAAGTTGGTGAGCAGAATGCCCAGCACCTAAGCCCCAGAGGAATGAGAGTAAGGGTTTTCTCTCTCTTGTCTCTGTCAGTGCCTCTAACACCCATGGGCAGACCCCTAAAGGAGGCTGCTGAGCTCCCTGCAAGCCCCACATGAACTCTGAAGCATGCTGGTGGCTGCGATGAGGAGGGCAGGAGCTGGCAGTGAGTTACAGGAACCCAGCATCATCCCAGCTGATACCTCTGCTGTGCATCCATTTCCATCCTAACCACTGCCAAATCCTTCCTGCCTTCACCCACTGCATCACCCCCGGGACGCAGCACAGCAAGGCCAGCGTTTGGCCCAGCAGCTTTCCCAGGTTTTGCTGCTTTTTGTCTTCCTTTCTGTAAGGAAGCTCCAACAAAAGGAAAACGCAGTTGCTGTGCGAGGAGGCGCGGGGCGTCTCTGCGCATCAACCATCTGAAATATGCAGTGTCCTTTCATTTCTTCCCATCAACAGGGGAAAAAAATCTGTCACTCTGGGACATCTGCTGCTGGAAAACTTTCCCCGAGTGCCAGACTGGCAGCGCCATGAGCACGTCAGGCGAGGCGAGATGCCAGAAGGGTTTCTGCTGGTCACCAAAGCCGCGCCGTGAGCCGAGGGCTCCATCACATCGCCGCACAATGCCCTGACAGGCATTGATGGCAGTGGGGAGAGGAGCCGCTGCAGATTCACACCCGGCTGGGCTCAGATGAGAGGCCTCCGGTGCTCGAAAGCCGTGGTATTCCCAAGCTGTCTTCCCAGTACACAGGCAGGCAGGATGACTGATCGGGCTCGGGTCAGGGGTCCAGGCCGGTGACCGGAGATCGGCTTTCCAAAGGCTCCTCTGGAAAAGTCTGAGAACTGAAGGAAGCCTCTTCATCGATTCAGCAGCACAAAGAAGAGGGGCCCATCTGGGAGGATATCAGCATGCGTGTGCAAGGGCGCACAAAAGGGGGAGTGTGATGAAATGAATGCAGAGAGCAGGCTGTGGCTAGCAGGGAGAGCATCCTCGGTGCCAGCAGCTACAGAAAACCACCAGCACCACACTCAGGTGCCCCATCCCCGTGCCCTGCTCTGCCTCCATTTCTTATGGGTTATGTTGTATCACACTCTGCCGAATGAACTGCCTGGACCCAGCCTGATTCTACAGTTACAGACTCACCAAAGCACAGTTTCTGAGGGGATGCTACTGGTCCCAGTGGGGCCATAGGGATGCAAGGGTAAGCAGACTCTCAGCCTGCAAAGCTGATTAGAGATGCTGCTACTACCCACATCCCTGGGAGGGGACAGAGTCCAGCAGGATGGGGATTTTGCTGCACAGCGTGTCTTCTATAAATGGGATGATGTAAACGGCATCACTTCTGCTACAGGAGGCATAGCAGTAGCACCATCTCCTCCTGAAACACTGACCCTTCTTTGCTGGCTTCACGACACCTGGGTTTGCACTGTCTTGACATGACATGTGTGCTGTGTTCCCCACAGGAACTCACCACTGCTCAGGCACTGTGCTGAGGACAAGGAGGAGCTGGCTCAGCTCCACCATCCAACTGCACACCGAACACTGGTGGTACACTACAAGAGCAGCTCAGTGGAGCAGCACACAGGGAAAAATCACACAGGCACCTTGGCAGCAAAACAACCACAGCCTCATGAGGAGAGACTGATGCCCGTTACCATCGGCTGCTCCAGGGCTGCTGCAGATCCCTTGTGTGGGATACGGCTGCGTGATCCCAGCGCGGGATCCCTGCTCAGTGCCAGGAAGCTGGGATCATGCTGATGCCCTGCTGTTTGGCGGGGCTTTGGGTGCTCATGCAGAGACCCTCCTTGCAAGGCCATTTCCACGTGTCTTCCAAACAAAGTGAAACCCATCAATTACTCTTAAATCAGGAGCAGCTGCTTCACATCCCGGTCTTCCCCACACTTATTTGTCATGCTTCTGGGAACTGAAATGTGATTTGCTACACGGTACCCTTCCCATAATCACCAACGGTCTTCAAACTCACTGCATGAATAACCTGCAGGCTTGCTTGTCCTGCCTTAAGGTGTCCAAATCCCTGCAAATTCATGAGTGTGTGGGGGTGTGCACCATGAAGGGATGTCCAAACCCATTTGCATCTCTCCATACCCAACTAAAACATGGGGTTTAGAGCAAAAAGCCACCTTGTGAATGACAGGCTCTGGTTTCCCTGCTTTTGGTACCAAAAGGGCTGTGTGGCCCTGCAAGCGAGTCTTTCCCACAGCACTAAAACGAGCTCAAGCAAGGAAGAACTTCCAAAGGAGACACTTCACAAGGGAAGGTCACAGAGAAGAGCAAATGCCACCTGAGCCCAGGTCCTAACGAAGCCTTTTTCCACTGGAATAAATGAAGTCCCTTAATTACCATTTTGTAAATAAAATCTCCTTGGAAAATCAATATTTAGAGCCTGCCTTCTCTGAAGATGTTGGCCTTTGTTCCTTGCTATTACGGCAATATCAACCCCATAGCGTGATATACTTCTAGGCTGAAAATTACCCCCCTGAACCCAGTTGGGTCAAAGGAAGAAAAGCAATAAGCCTTTCAGAGCAGTAATGCAGCTAATATTTCATGCTTCCTTGTACATTTTGGAGCAGTAACCCAGAAAGCATGATTTTACACAAAAAAAATCCCCTTCCCCTTCCTCCTGTAGTGATACACCCCTGCTTTTGGGATGGGCTGGTGACGCCGGGTGGGAATTTTGCTGGAAATGCCCATTACACCTCTTGGGCATTTGGATCATGATTGGCACAAATCACCCCAGGACTACAAGCAAAACGGTATCTCTGACCAACAGAGAGGGACAAACCCTATGGCTGCTGGACACGGGGATGGTTCCACTAGAGTCAAAAAGGCCCCATCGGCTTCTCCATCCGAGAGCACGGCTCAGTGCAGCATCACCCTGACAGCAATCAGCTCCATCCCCAACCCAGGGACTGCATAACAAGGCAGCCCCAGCGTCAGCTCCTTCAGTGATTTTTATTCACAGCTTTTAATGGAAAAGCCCACAATTCCCTACGCTGGAGCCTTCATGCATTTTTCATTAACAATTATCCGCTATCCCAGAACTGCTTTTGATTTTTGCTAATCATCGATTGGGTATTTTGTTCCCACACAGCTGGCATTTTCCAAACATAACAACCACCTCCGGAGAGGGCAGAGCACAAGGCTGATCTTTCATGCTAATGTGCCCAGAAACACAGCAACACGTCAGGTGATGAGAATTCATACCTGAGGGACGGCGAGGGAAGAGGTGTTTATCAGACACAGCCTGTGAGGCTCATTTCACTGTGCTGAGAGGCTGGAAGCTGCTTAGCAAGTGACTGCCTGATGTTGTACCAGCAGCCACATCCAATCTGCAGTGAACCCAGCCCTGAAGCTGCCGTCCCATCTCACTGATCACGGGCTTCTGACCTTGGGGGTTTGCTCTCCTCGGGTTTGCATACGAGAGATGGAGCGGGGTGATGAAGATGCCACAGGGCCCTTCACAACTTTGCGAAGCAACATTCTGATGGACAGATCATCCCATCGGCTGTGCGTGTGTGCAGGCACACTACCGCCCACAGGAGCGATGCCTCAAGCTTGCAGGAGCAGAGCAGCATCTTGAATGCAGCATGTTCTGCAGGTCTGGACCTCAATTCTAGCTGTGTTCGTTTACAAGAACAAAGTTGCTCATAAGGATACGTTCTGCAGCCATTCAGCACATGCTATGATTTGGGATGATTTACACTTTTTTCCCTAAAAATCCCAATGGGGGCATTCAGACCTTTACTGCCATATTGAGCAGAGTTTTAATCCAAATGAATTTTGTAGGAAACCATGTAATCTAATAAAAAAGCTCACAGTGCAGTTTAGTAGCTCCATTACCAGCAGATTCAAGATCCATCTTTACACAGACAAGTATTTTCCAAGTGCAATAGACTGATAAATCCAAGGCATAATCACAGACTGATTCTGCCCGGAACTAAGTGGGTTACAGCACTTGGTCATGCCCACGAGAAGAAAACAAAGGACAACTTGAAGAAGCTCTGAAAAACCCCCAGTATCCAACCTGTTGCCTCCAAGTCATGGAGTACCAAGCCCCGCTGTACCAGTGAGGGCATTTTCCAGACTGACAGCGCTGGAAACCACCAGGCATGGCTACTTGCCTGAAGTTGGGGGTCAGAGTCGACCAAGACTAGTGCAAAAGAAGCCAAAAGTTCAACATTGACAAGTACGATGGCCTTAGGGCTCAGCTTTACAATCGGATTACTATCGTTTGAGAAGATGCCATGTGTCAGCTGAGCACCAGCGACTGGCTGAGCTCCCTCAGCCTCTGCCAGATGCAGGGGAATGTGATCGTTGAGCTCGCAGGGGAGAAGGCTGACATGGGATTGTGTTAAATGATTCCCATCAGAAAACGATGACGGCGAGGTTCACCAAGCTGCAGTTCATAAGCATGTGTAGCTCCAGGCACAGGGACCTGGCCAGAGGACAAGACCATGACTACAGACACAACCTCTACCTTACTCAGTGAGGAGGAATGGTTTCACAGGCAACACATCTGGGTGAGACAGAGCTGAATCCAGTGTGAATTCATGGATTCAGTGACTCCTTGTAAAGCCTTCGGACACTTCTGGCTCTGTTTTCCAGTCAATAAAAGGGGATGCATTAATATCCCTCCTTCCATTTCTGCTCTGTTCATATTGGAAACCCATGCAAGGAACTAGCCTGGATTGTATGGCATCTGTATGTGCACACACTAAGCTTCCTGAAGCTCCAAAAACTTCCGGTTTGGAGAAAAGCTACATTGATCAAGAAGATTTTATTACAACTCACACCTTATTCTTCTTGAAACACACAACCTCCCATCCCTCACACAGCAAAGCTTTAAAAAGCCTTAAACCTCAAAACAAAAAGCCATATTACATAGGAACTTGGAACAATGAACTCTTGTTCCTTGGGGAACAAGCCATGGTGCCTGCGGAGCATTCCCCAACAGTCTAAACTGAAGGTCCAGACCCTCCGGCAAGGTTGGGTAGTTGCATTCATGAGACACATCTGTTAATACACATAGCAGCTATCTATAAATGATGCCAGAGGGTACAAATCTCTACCGATAACCTAGCTTTACAACACAGGTGCTATTATTTTTCAGGATATTGTTCCACACTATTTCCATAGAAACTATGTCATCAAGTTGTAATTTTCACACTAAGTGCATCCCACCGCATCAGTTCCTCAGCACAAACATCCCCCTCCCGTCACATGAAAATGCAGTTATTTAGCACTCAGAGAAAACACTCTCCCCTGGTGAGATAAAAGGCTGAACTTTAGTGAAAGTCAGCTTCCATGCAAGTATTATTCCAAATGTATTTACATTTGCACACCCAGGCAGGTCACTGTTCAGGGGTTAAAGCGTGGATCCTCCACTCTGGAGTAAGTGTGGTCCCTGCCAAGTCCAGGGACAACAATTGGTCCTTCCAGGAATACCCAAAAAATGACCAGGACACTTCTACTGAGTTCCTGCATCACCAGTCAAAGTCTAATGCTGATTCCTGGCACAGTAAAGCCCAAAGCACTGAAATATAAGCCTACAAAGTGCAGCTGGTAGGACTGAAGCAGTGTTTTAGTGTATCGAAGCCCAAGTTGAATCCACATACCTGATTCTGAACATTACCACCTTCACATTAGCTCCTTGCTAACGCAGGAAGAAAGCAACAACTCTCCCACTCCCCATTTCCCTGGAGTCCAGATCGTTCAAAATAACATCTTCTAACGTAGCCTTCCTCAAAAGCAGGGTGAGGGACCACTGCATCAGCCCCAGGGATGAGTGACAGCAACCCACCTCACCTGCTGAAGCCTAGCTGGCTCTAAAGCACTCCCTTTCCAGGCACTCAGGCAGCAAGGGTGCAGTCTCTCCGAATCATTCATGCCCATCTCAGCCTCAAGCACAGTTAAGTCCACATTGAAAGCAGGGCTTGCACACCTCCCCAGGATGTGCTGCACACCCCACTGCCCTCTGCCAGCCTTCACTGACCACTTCAAAATGAACTACTGCACACACCTGCCTCGAATCTGCTGCCTGCACAAGAGCTGAAGGCTGTGTGAGCTAACTGCCTCTTGACTCAACAATTAGACCTGCAGAGACAGCTACTTCTGGACCATCAGGTAGGTGATGTCAGTCCTCCATGCACGGTAACTCCAGTTTGATGCTCCACCCCACACAGCAGCCAGTGCACGAGGACTTACCTGTTGTTATTCTTCAGCTTAATGTGGTCACTGGTCTCCAGGATCTGCCCATTCCTCAGCCAAGTGATCTGGGGTGGGGGTTCCCCTTGGGCCACACACGTGAAGATGGCAGTGGTCCCCACAGGCCTGGAAATGGACTGGGGATGCTGCACAAACTCTGCAGGGGCTGGAAGGAGGAAGGAGAAGGAGGGTGAGAAGAGTCAAGATGATCCCACTTTATCCTGGTACAAAGAGAAACCCCATCAATAAGACTTGTCTGCCTGAGAACATGGGATGCTCGGGCAGACCACAGCATAGGCAGCAGATAACACTGCATTTTGGTTGCTCATCCTGGCAGTCATGGCTTCACAGAAGGCATCTGAAGGTCAGCTCAGTACTGTATGGAGAGCCAAGGACCTGTACAGCATTAGCAAACTGCTTGCAAATGGAGAGAAACATATGGATGTGCATGGAGCAGTCTGGCAGCTTGTTCTTACCCTGGTAAACAGTTTTGCTGCAGACTACTCTGGTAGCAATAGATTGGGGTGCATTTTTAGCCCCAGATCTGCAGCCTGGAACCCTTAAGGTCCTGCCAAGCCTGGCAGAAGCCACCACCATGCCTGTCACTGCCGCTCACCTCATAACCAAGTATCTTCACCTTTAGCAATAACATTTTTAAACAACAAGTGATTTCCCCTCTTCCAGCAGCTCAAAGTAGATTTAAAATCATTTATCAGAATAAACCAGCGTATCAGGGCCTGAAAGACACTGCCAAATACGTGAGTTTATTCAAGCAGTTACGCTTCAAAGGGCAAAGTGATAAATACACTCCACGTTGCTGCTGAAACCTAAAATCAGGTGGAACCGGCAGCAGCCACAATGAAGACAAACAGAGAAAGGCACAGGCCCGTAATGAATTCACTGACTGGGGTCACATAATGGATGGCTGGTGTTAAACTTTTCCAACACAAGCAAGATTATCCAGGGAGACACGCTCCGTGCCACTCCCTGGCATTCCCCAAGCATGGGGTTGGCCACCAGGGATGGGAGAAGGGAGCAAAATGGTCTAGTAAAATGTGTTGAGGAGCAGCCAGGCTGCAGGCAGGAGCAGCTACCCGAGAGCAGAGCCTTATGGTTTGTGGCCAAAAATCCCCTCAGGGTTTGCTGCAGCACTACAGGGCGATAAAGCTCTTCCCAGCTGTTTGCATGCAAGGGAAGAGCATCACTATTGCTGCAACAAGGTCAAACCACAGCGAAAGGTGCTAAGAGCGAAGTCATGCATGTTGTAAGTCCTGCAAGCAGAAAGACACAGAAACTCACTGAAGAGCCTCAAAGGAGCCCCTCTTCCCTTTTTAATACTCAAAGGGAAGCAGAACGTGGCAGGTCAGACTCACATTAGTGGTGAGGGGTGTCCGCCAGCAGTTTATTGTCAGGCCACTTCTGTCAGCGCTCAGGTCTACTGATGAACCTGATCTCAGCAACCATGGACACGTATGTCCAGAACCTCCTGCTAAACTCCCCCACGTGCCAATCCATCCCTTGTCCTTTTATTTCCCTCCTACTTTTTTTCCCACTCTAGACTTACAAACTGAAACAAAATTCAGGATAGGTTCAACTGGAGTTGCAAGTGTGGATAAAGAGGGGGAAGAGCCCCTCTTCCCTGCAGTGAACGGTCCCTTTGTGGCATACAGTGAGAGCAGCAGAGACTTGATTTTCAAGACTTCCTTAACCTCCTGCCCCCCGCTTTGTGCTGGCGCAGTTTTGCAGCAGCAATTACTTTGCAAGTGGCTGTGCACCTCCCTGCTTTCATCTGGGCTCACGAGTTGCACCCGCACTACTCGCAGGTGCAAACCCATGATGCCAAGGAAGGGCACAGCCACCTTCCAGCTCCTCCTGCAGCTCCATTAAAGATCCTGCTGCTTGGCTCTTTGCCTCTGCCTCCCCAAAACCTCAAATCGTTTGCTCCAGCAGAAGCAAAGTTGAAACAGGGAAAGAAGCATCCAGTGTAACCCTTCTTGAATCGCCCTCTCTCCTTATCCTCCTTTATTAGCCCCTGTCAAGAGGGAGCAATGGGAGCGGTGTCGCGTGTGACTCGGGGTGACGGAGGTGCAGCTGTGGCCGCTGGCCTGGCGCCAGTGATGCTATTCAGGACCATGGCCCCTTGGGTCCCCCTGATCCCTGCTCCCTGCCACCATCCCTCCTCTTTGCTGTCTCACTAAACACAACCAGATCAAACCCCGGCTCCTGTTTAACTTGCTTAAACTCTTCAGGGAGCAGGCAACCACTCCGTCAAATGGGTGGCATCCCTCACTGCAACACAAGAGATGTCCTTTCACTGTTCCTGCTCCTCCTGGCTTTCTCCAGGCATTGCTCGGTCCTGTTCAGGTCTCACCTTACTCCTTTTGGTGCGGGAGGAGCTGTAGTGCAAAAGAGCCCAGGCTGCAGCAGAAACCCAAGGAAAGGCTCCTCCTTCTCATCACCAGCTTCAGAAAGCATCAGAGAAAGTACATGGTCTGGATGCCACTGGAGTCTTAACATGGGGACAGACACTGCTGCAAGGAGATGCCCCTGTGCTGCACTGGACCCCTGTGCTACAGTGCTCATACCAGCATCCCCAGGCAGGGTCCCTTGTGGCGGCTGCTGGTTCATGGTCTGGGATGAATGGTTCCTTTCCAGGACAGCAGAACATCTGCTCTCTTCCTCCCAGCTCCTCTCTCTGCCCTTTTCAAATGATTCCAACAGGAATCGAGAGTTTGCCACCTCTGGCCCTGGGTTAGCAGGGAAGGAGCAGAAGCAAAGCCCTGCCTTCAGCCAAGCCTCCATCCCCCTCCTCATCCATAATTAACAGAGCATCCTGTCACTGCTCATCTTGCCCTGCACGGAGGCGCAGCAGCCTGAAGGCCTCTCCCCTTCCATACTACATGCTAAAAGGCCATCACAGGCGGCGAGGGGAAGCATATCTCAGCCCTGCATGGAGATCTTAATGAAGATCTTAATGAAGATCACTGTTAAGAGCAGAGAATTCAAACCTGGCAAGGAGGAGCGGGCAGGATCTAGCCCTGGCTTGTGAAGTATGAAGAAACCAGAGTTGATTATTCAGGATTTAATGGGAGGGATAGAATCATGCAGTTTCAATGAATATTTAAAGGCGTGACATTGGTATCAAAAAGTAATAACACTTAATACCACCCCCAGAATCATCAACCAAGTGCTTCGATAGCTTCTACTGTGCTCAGCAAACTGTGATAGCATGAAGATGTGCTGCAACAGCGGGTGGTAATGGGAGACCCAGATGGGCTTCATCTCTTTAGAGACATTTCATCTCAGCAGTGACCAGCCACTAGCGTGTCCCCCAGGATAACAGGGAGCTTCGCTGCCCTTGCTGTGAGTTTTTGCCTGGCACTCACTGGGAAAGGCTGTCCTAAGGATCTAGGAGCACTGACAGACGATGCAGTGGTGCCAGAGGAATCCTTGCCCCTTGCATCTCAGTATTATTAATTCTCCAGTAGCCAGAGTGACAGGGTAAGGGAGGGAGGCTGGGCTGAGGAGGAGGAAGAATAACATGGAAACAACAAAACTCCATAAATTAGGCTACTGAAACCAACAATAAGGTTATAAAGGAGAAGACAGGTCAATGGAGAAGTCAGTCAAGCACAGCATCAGGTGACAGGAGATTTAAGACAAAGAACTGCTGCCTGCTTGGCTTCTTTCTATTGACTACAAAGAATGCCCAGATGCTTGAGTAACTTAAATAGCTAAGCTGTCTGGCCGGTGGGATTGCTAGGGCCAAAGATGGAATCTGTGGCCGTGTCCCCTGGGAAACAGGCAGAAACTACTCAAGGAAGCTGTTGCGGAGGCTGTCCGTCAGCCTTCAATGTGTATCGTGAGCTTCTCAACCTGGCAAGCACACACTGAGCCACGCAGCACATACTGAAGCCAGTTTTGCAGCATGAATTTAGGGCTAAACTCAAGCACAAACCAAGTACCACAGAGCCAAGCCTAAACCACTGCAACTGCACTACATCCGTGGCTGAATGCAACCCCATGGCCAAGGCTTGCAATGCCAGCGAGCAGGAACGCTGGAAGAAACATCAGGAAACACAGCGGTGGCCGGATCTGTTGGACCAAGGAGTGCTGCCCGGTTCTGCCAGCAAGAAAGCAGGACGAACAAGGCAGTCATTGTCAGCAGAGCCTTCAAAACCACGTCCTTAAGATGGGCACTCATTTATGAGATGGGATCTCATTTTTCTGCGTAGCTTTCAGGAGGAAATGAAGCGTGGAGTGGAGAACACTGGTGACCATCTGGCCATTCACAGCCCATCAGTTTGTTATGACACCAAACACATAATAAAGCACAAAAGATTGCACAGGAGGTAGAGGGAAAGCGCTTTGATATATTTTTCTTGCCTTGCCACCGAAGCCTGCTCTTCCCCGGCACCACACGCACGCACACCCTCCGCTCCAGCCGGCCCTATATTCGGCCCTTCAACAACTCCCCCCGTGGGACTTTGATTCGCAGCCCGGCACAAAGCAATATTCAAATGCCTGCGCCGGGATCTGAAGAGAAAATGGAAACTTTCTTGTGTGAGAACCTTACAAAAGAGATCAAAGGAGCCTAAATGGCCAGGGGAGGGCAGGGAGGGAGGGAGGGAGCGGGGGATTGACGCCTTCTCCTCTGAAGGGAGGAGGAATTCCCAGGAAGATAATAAGATGGTGTTAGATGATCTGAAGGAGAGCTTGCAATGGGAAAGGATGTTAATGCCAGAGCAAGAGCAGAGCCCTGTGCCAGGGCACCACTGCCCAGGTGGCTGCTCTGATGGGGACAAGACCACCGCTGGCAGCAGGAGGGAGGATGTGGTCTCTGGTCCCAGCCTCCCGCTAACTCCTTGCCTTACAACAGGAAACATGGCCCTTTCTCCCCCTGTTTCCCACCTATAAAACGTGCCTCCTTCAAAAGATGAGGGGGTAAGTTAATTTGTGCCTTCAGGCACTTCAAGGGCCTCTGCATAAAGGCGGCAAGTACCTGGCCTGGCGTGCTTTGAGGACGCTGTATTGTCCTAGCCCTGTGCTAACTTCCTCTCCAACCAGGCTTTTGATAGCCCGCTCTTTGCTTTTATTCCCCTTACGGATGTAATTTGCATCGCTGACATCTTGACAAAGATAAAACCCACAGTCTCCCATGTCAGTCATTATTGCTGTTTTCTTCCCAGACAAACCTAACAGCAATCATTTGTACCTCTCAGCTGGAAAATTCAGCCAGAATGAGATTCAGAGGAAGGAAAAACTGCTTCCAAAAGGAGGGTGAGCAAAGCTGGGATGAGCTCAGCTGCCTGGCCAGGGTCTGGCCAGCTTCCGTGGGGCACAACAACCCCCTGAAGAACAGTGCATTTTACGGATGGGCAACACAGGTTGGGGTCCTGGATGCTGCAGCTCATGTCTAAGGGCTACACCAGGGATGCACACTCCTGCTGAGCACAGGAGAATCCCCCTTCCTCAGCAGGGCTGGGCGCCAATGGCCCTGCGAGGACCATTTCAGGGACAAACTCTCACCTTGATTCCCCAGTGAAAATCCACAGTAATTCTACCCCAGACGAACTCCAGCACTAGACCAGCTGCTCAGGAGCTGGTGTTTAAATCACCAACGAGACTAAAAGCTGCCCATCTGCAGCAATGAGAAGTCGTGCTACCTTTTCCCCTCTCATCCAATTGCTAACAGAAGCAGTCAACAGTATTCAATAATTATATTTTTATGACTTCATACATTTTCCAAGTAATTTCTTTTGGTTCTGCCTGCCTGCCTCCTGGACATCAGCTCAGCATTTGGGTTTAGTAGCTCTCTGCCACATGCAGAGCTCTTCTGCAGCAGCTCTAAAGGGTTTGTATCAGTACAGCGAGGTTCTTAATGCTTGGGCTGGTGTTGCTTAATAACACCCTCAGGTCTGCCCACCCCCAGCCAGCTGGGAGTCCCCCTTGTTGCATTGCTCACCCAGAAATCCAGCAGCAAAAGAAACATTGAGCTTTCACCTCCCCTCATGTCTGATCGGCACCTGGGATTCAAGTGGCAGGAGCACTCTCTGCACTGTTCCTTGCTGCTCCCATGGCAAAGGGGAAGAAGGAAGCCATCACCCAGGACCCACGGGTGCTGCATGAGCACTGCAATGCCAGTGACTCCCGGGACCTGTCAGGTGAGCATCAGGGCTGGAGCAGGGCACTTTCCCCATCACCAGCATGAAAGGTTCAATTAGTTCACTCCGGCAGGAGGTGTGTAATTTTAGATTCAGGATATCATCAGTCAATAGCTAATGAGTGAACTGATGAGAGCACGAGATGCTTTAAGTGGGCTAGCATGAAGAGGAGGTGAGTGCCTGTAATCAGGGCGGATTACTGCCATTCAGAGCATGCTGCCAGCTGGGTTTGCCTTCTGAAATACTTGCCTGGCTCCCCTCACCATGGAGACTGGTCCACAGAGCATGTGGAGTGGATTTGTTTGGTTTCTTGAGTGCTGATCTCTACTCTGGGCTGACCCACCCTATACAAGTGGTATCTCAGGACAGTTGCTGTGAGGAAGAGGAGCAACCTGCATGTCTTGGGGATGGCGTCCAAGGGATGCTTTACTCGTGTCATGGCAAGGGGCTCAAACAGTGTCAACTGCTAAAGGAAACAGTCTCACTGACTTTTTGGAAATAGTTTTAGACTTACTGGTGCCATTTCAGTTGGAGAGCAACACTTTATAGAATCACAGAATCGTTAGGGTTGGAAAGGACCTTAAGATCATCAAGTTCCAACCCCCCTGCCATGGGCAGGGACACCTCACACTAAACCATATCACCCAAGGCCTCGTCCTCGCGATATGTACTCCTGGATATCACTGCATGAGTGATATCTAGCATTCCAAGATATCCAGTATGAGACCAGTGCCTGTGCCCCCATATTATTAAGGACCACACAAGGGTGAGTGATGACGTTGGCTGATTAAGTCAGTCCGAGCTTTCTGCTGAGATGTACAAGTACGACAACGGGTGTGCTATGCCGAATAAATGCCTGTGATGGGATGGAAAGCCATTGCACCCATGCAGCTGAGGCCTCAGCTGAATGACACCTGGTTGCTACCCACCAGTGTGAGCATCCCTCCTCTGCAAGCCCCAGGTTTGCTCACCTTGTACAACGAGGCTGCCCTGCGCGGTCCTTCGCACCCGCGTGCCGGGTTTGTTCGCAGCGCACACGTAGATGCCGGAATGCTGCACGGTGAGGTCTGAGATCATGAGATTTCCTGTGCCCAGCACCTGGATCCCCTCCACGCCGATGGGGCGGCCGTCTGAAAGAAGAGGAAAAGGATAACAGTCACGTGCTGGACCTTTGTGAGAGGCTCTCCACACAAATGGAACGGTACCATGCTCCGTTACTGGGGTTTGCCAAGTAAAGTCAATGGGTTGTAGCTGACACTTGGCAGAACTGTCTTCAGGAGAAAACCAGGATCCTCACTTACATGTTTGCCCAAACCCAAGGTACCAGCACAGGAAACGTGAAAGCTTTCAGCCAGGTGCTCAGCTTAAGGCGAAGAACACTGTTCACTAAAGCGGTTAAACCAAGTTAAATCATACCAGCCTCTCTAAGCTACTGCCTGGGTTCTTATATTAGATTGCCCAGGGATGCAACCAGCTCAACAGCCTGTTTCCAACAGAGATGCTCTGGGAAGGAGAGGACCAGTGTTTCCAAATAACCACGCCTGGGCTCCAGCACAAGGTCTTCAAAACAGAAGTGTTGAATGTGAAATAGTTCAGTATCAGGGAATTCACCCTTTCCCAACAAAGCCTATTTTTTACTGGAAAATTCCCAGCCAACTCTAATTACAATGTGTTTCATTAGTATCAGGCTATTGCTTTTTATTGCTTCATTGATTTGTGTTTTAAGACACTCCTGACAAAGGCAGCTCTAAATCAGTGCTAGCGTGTGTCAGGGTGTCTGAGCAGAGGGGCAGGGCAGGGGGGTACTTTTACTGAGGAGCAGTAAAGGGGAGCACACTTTCATCAGTTGGAAAACAGGAATTCAGTTCTTCTCTTCCCTTTGATCAAGGAGTTTGAAGAACCTACAGAATGGGAGAAGCAACTCTGGGTTGGAAGGGACCTTAAAGCTCATCCAGTTCCAACCCCTGCCACGGGAATGGATACCTTTCACTAGAGCAGGTTGCTCCAAGCCCTGTCCAACCTGGCCTTGAACACTGCCAGGGATGGGACTTCTCACAGAAGCCACCCCTGTAGAGAGCTCCCCTGCCTTGCAAACCCATAGAAGTGAGGGATCCCATTTCAGATTAACAGCAGCACCCTGTTAGGAAACACCAGTAAAACATGGGCTGAAAGCTACAAAGCACTTCCCAAACACATCTCCTGCCATGCTCCTTACACACTGTTTTCCAGGAAATTTTTCAACTTCAAGGTTTCCTTGCTTCATTAGGCAGGGAATGCCAGACCACTTCATTATTTGCATTGCAAAGAGAAATGCTTGGGTCTTTTAGAGAGAGAAAAACAATGTCATTAAATGATTAAATGATCACATAACTGGCCAAGCCACTGCAGCAGTAAATGGCTCAGTCATAAAAAGGACAGTAAAACATGACCTGTCCCACATTTAATGAGCAATAACAAGGAACCATTCCCTTCAAACATCATCTGAAGTGTAAAGAGGTCTGAATTAAATTCAAATTGAAGTTGATTTCGTCTTTTAAATTAGACCTTTTGGAAGTCCATATTTACGTGTAAAAATCAAATCTCTCTCTCTTGAGATGGGTGGGATCAGGGAAAGATGCAAAGTGGCCATACCTGGATGCTCCCTCACATCCTTGCCTTAAGAAATACCACAGAAATGTGACTTGAATGTCAGTAGTTTTAGTGTATTATTTATAAAGTGCTACATAATTTAAGCATGCAAAGAAAGACCCAGCCTGCAGCAGGCACCCCACAGAGCCCAAATACCGGCACTGGTACCTCCTTAGTTATCTCTCTAGCCCCAGCTACCAATTAGAGGTGTGGTGCTCTGAAGATACATCTCCTGCCACTCAAACATCTTCCACTTCCCTGAAGAACAAAGCTCTCCAAGCTCAGAAACCTCGAGGGATCTGTCACTGATTCAGTGTGGTCACCTCTAACAGCCAGCAAAGATCACTGCCAGATCACCCCATATGCCTCTTACTCAGCTCCTTCCAAGAGTGCTGAAAGGGCTTCTAAGAGAAGTATCTCTCCTTTCCCAGCCTGCCCCATTCTTCTTACTCTACTGTACCTCACTCAACCCAAACCATCCTGTGATCAGTTAGAAGGTCTTCAGCTAATAGCAAGCCCAACTGTGTAACGCTGGCAACACACATCAATAACACAGAGTTTTTACACAAGAAATTCCTTGCATCCGGAAAGCTCAGCACTTTGCAGGAGTGCTGTGCAGAGGGGCTGATGTCTCACACCTGCTTTGCAAAGGTTGCTATTTATTTTAACCCTGTTTCCCTCACACGGAAGCCTGAGGAGTGGCTTGGTCAAGGGATCCGAACCCTGAAACCCTACCTTCCTGGCACCACTTGCCATCACCAAGTCATCTCTCTATGGGGAAGATCTGAAGGGACTGCAAAAGCACTGTTGCTCAGTTCCTGAAGCTCTCAGGACCCACGCATGCTGGAAACTGCTGCTCATTTAACATGACCTTCTACTTCATTTTATGAAGTCAAAAGCAGAACGTTTGAGGGCTGAAAACAAGCCAGTGTGGGTACAAATGTCTGACAGATTCACTCTGTCGATCCTCAGCTGATGAGGGCAGGAGAGAGGTTCAACTGGTTGCAAAGAGCAGAAAACAACTGATTGATAAAGGAGATCATTCTCCAAGTGGGAGATGCTCCCTAAAGATGCTCTGTGTAGGGACAAAAGAGGCTTCCAGGCTCCCTTCTTGGGGGGGGAGTCTGGATGAAAGAGGCCTGTGGTTTGGGAGCTGCATTATTTATTTTTCCAAGGTGTATGGGATGCTTTCTGGAGTCCATTCTCCCGCTAAGGGAGTGATTGGCACAGCAGCACCAATTACAGAGACCCGTTAAAACGTGCCAGGCGATATGAATATGCAACAACACCAACGCCTTTCTTTTGTAAGCAGCAAGTAGAAAGAAAGTAACAACTTTCTAATGTTGATCATTTAGGTCTTTTGTGAATTCTTTGTATTGTGCCATAGTAGCCTTCCACTTTTTAGACACATGGGTCTCCTGCTCCAGCGGACACTGGGCACTGTGGATTAGCATATTTAGAGTACATTGCAACAGTTGACTATTCAGTGTGTGAAGTGGTGAAATTTACTCTATTATTTCTAAACACTTACAGCAACGGCGCTCCTGTCAACCAGTCAGCCATCTATTACAAGCTTCTGTGTCCAATAAGTTACCAATTAATTGGCTCCTACAATTGTTGTATAGTTTACTTCTTGAATGGCTCCCTCTTTAGTAATTTCCTTCCCATTGTGTGACCCTTTCTGACAACTTCTGTATAACGCTATCAGATAATCACTGTCTTTTCTTTCTCGCCTCACTTTTCTCTATCTCTCTAAATAGTTTATTATTCTGCCTTGGTACCTTTTATGGAGGCCAGCTCAGTGGCCTGTCAGTTAAAGGGTAAGGATACATTAAAATCGTCATTCATTCAAAAGGCTTTGCAGTAAGTGCCCAGGATATTCATTTGTGCACACATACAGGTCCAAGCCTGAAGTGTGTAGCTCTCAAAGGAAAAGCCCTATCTTTCCTGAACAAACCCTTAATGATTTTACATTTCTCTCAGAGCCTGCTCTCTAATGAATGTTGACATTTCATGCACGGCGAGACACAGGAATTCTGTTTGTGGTCGGGGCTACAACATATTCCCAAGGAAATTACATTCAAAATTGATTGGGTGACACTCAAAAACTGGCCTAGAATTTGAATGGTTTCCTTCAAGCAAAATATAGGTGCCTTTCCCACTGAAAACCAGCCAGGCTTCAGCAAAGCCAAAGCAGAAAGTGCAAATGTTGTTTATGGCTTGCTTTGCCCTGCACCAAAATGCTGTGAAAGCAGAAGGGTTCTTTTAGTCCTTTCTGATAGAAGAAATGCCACAATGTCAAAAGTGTGAGCAAGGGGGTTCAGAGAGGCACTCTGAACCAGCAGCATGCCCTGGGCAAGGACCTGCCACAGTGGCCATGCCGCATCTCTTCTTTATTTTGACCAGGCAAGAAAGATGTTCACATATAACTGACTTTAGGTTTTGTGTAGATCAAGTCAGGCCATTGCTAAATCATGGCTAAGACTTTGTGCCCATGGATTTTTTTATTTCTGGGAGTGGATTCGAAGTATTTTGGTTCCTAAGTTCAATAAATTCAATGGTTATTTAAGCTAAACCAGCTCTGTAGGAGGAACTGCAGGAAGAAGACCTTCACACGGGAGGAAGCCACATGTACAGATGACAGATACTCAGGGGATGTTCTTGTCCAGTGTAAACCCCTCTCCCTCCTCCTGATCACACAGGCCCAGAGACATGAAAGAGCTTCTGAAATGGCTATGAAGAGATGACAAACCCAGCCACTCATCAGAGAGCCTCTACAGCCACACTGCTGTCAGGATCGGTGCAATATTAAACAAGATCTTGTGATGCTTTGGACAGGAAACATTCCTGCTGAAGGGAAGGGAAAACAACAGGATCTCTTTCTCACTCAGTAGCTCTAATTCAGCTGCTGTGCTACAAAGCATCATGGAGAGGGCGTTTATATTTGGTGGAAGGCAATGCTGAGCTCAGATCATGCAGATATCACAAGAAGCTCTTGCATCTTCATTATTGCACTGCTCTATAGAGACAAGTGTTTCGAAGAAGGTAATAAACACTTATAATTAAAGGCAACTATAAAGTAGTTTATTATAGTTGAGCACTAACATAGAGCTGCCCTGTGTCCAAGAGATCCAAACCACTGATACAGCAGACACAGGGAATTTTTAAACCAGCATCAATCTGACTGTTATGGCTCTGGAGTAAAAATACCCAGTTAGTGGCAGGCACAAGCTGGTTTTACAAGCCACCAGAGGAGCAAGCAAGAGGGCAAGCATGGAAAAATAGTGCAATGGATGCTGGATACGTGTCTTTATCCCCTGATGGACAGCTCTAGAGTGGGAAGGTGCTCTTCCCATGAGCTGGACCTTGAGCCTTGGAGAGCCACAGCACAGCAGCAGGAGACAGGATTACCCCTGTTTGTGCTTCACAACCACAATGGAGGACTCAGGGACATTAGCATCCCAAAAATGACATGATCGCATGGACCACAGGGGGCTTGGGAAATCCTAACTGAACCGACCCCAAAGTGTGCACAGGCAGTTATAAGCTCCAAAAGATAAAATAAAAGCCATCAGCTCTTTGCTCAGATTTCTGTAGGGTAATGGAAATGTCACTCTGAGCAAAATAGTTTCCAAGGTACTATCAAAGTTAGAAACTACAAGAACCCTTGCTTTTGGACTGAAACACAGCACTTTGCTCTTCCTTGCTTGTATGATGCCATCAGACACTGCCTCTGGTTTCCATGCTGACTAAAATAACATGGAACCCAGCAGCAAGCACTGGGGTTTTCTACAGCTTCAGACATGCTACTTTAAGCACCTTGTCCCCTCATTTTTCAAACTCCCTGATGAGGCAGCAAGTTTCTTTCAAGTCTGTTTTACATGAAGGATATATCTGTGTGTGCTTTGCTTCTCTAGGCCAACAGTGGCGATGTTTCTGATGCAGCTGAAGAAGATGCTGTCAGTCGAGAAGAGATAAAATTATCACCTTTCATGCAACATCAACAGGTTTAACCAACCCACTCTGCTAAGAGGAGAAAACAGGATCTTGGCAGAGAGGAAAAACAAAGTGTAGACGTGAGGATAGAAAGCACTTCAAGCCTACAATTAACTTCCATAGGAAGGCAAAGGGTGAAATCACCTGTTGCATAAAATAGTCAGTGACACCTACCTATTTCCCATAGGATAACAGGGAAGAGGAAGAGGAAATCCCAGTCTCCTTGGGCTTACCTAGGCGGCTCCAGGAGACGATGGGCCGGGGGTTGCCGGTTGCAATGCACTCCAGCACCGCGGTCTGGTGCACCGTCAGCGTGAGGTTTTCCGGGCCAACCAGTATCATGGGGTCCTTGTAGACGGTGGAGTGGGAGCCTGCAAGGACAGCATCATTGTTAAAAGGCATCTGATTCTCTCCTGCTTAATGGAAACACTGAAGGCTTTGTGCATCCTCTAAGTACAAATGATGCGGCTGGTGTAATCCTCACTAAATCTGAGGGGTACAAGAAACAAAAGGAGCACAACGCCTGCATGACAGTGCCACTGAAACGTTTCAGGTGTGCTGATATTCCTGGGGACACCCCCCCCCCCCCCCCCAGCCAACAGACCGAGCCACAAGCAGCCCTGTTAACACACATACATAGGCAGAATAAAGAAGGAACCATGCTGTGAACTAGAGAGCAGATGAGCAGGAAAAACATGGCATACAGGGAGGACACAAGCTGCAGGACATTTGTAGGAATGCAAATAAAGGAAGGAGTTGCTTTACCTTTCAGCATCTCAAGGCATAAAATAATCCAGGCACTCCACAATGCTTAAATCTGCCTCTCTGATCATATCCTCTCTTGCTGCTGGGATCCTTTGCTCCAAAACCCCTTTCCTGGGACACAGAGTGATGGAGGTGCCAGTCCCTGACTCCCAGTGAGGATCTTTTTGAGAGGAAACTCAAGGAAACTCCTCTCATAACTGCAGCTCACAGAGTGGTCACTGCCCTGCCTTTACAGCAGCCCTGAACTGGCCCACTGTGGTGTAATTGGGTACAGGGAGAGGATGCATCCCCTTGCTCTGCTGTAATCGTGATACAATCATTGCTCAGGATGCGATCACTAATCATTTATTTGTGCTACAGTAGCACCAAGTGGCAGCAACCAAGAATGGAACCCGCTGTACAAGACGATGCACAGACTCATAATACAATAAAGCCCTACCACAAGAACTCTGGAGACGAGGCAGGCACAGGACAAGCAAAAGAAACTACATTTCACCAGGCAGGAGGGGACCACAAGGCAAAACCATCCTCCTGTGCCAGGTATACCACAGCTGAAACTGCATCTCCTGAGATCCTAAAAAGCGCCTTATCATTGAAGGGTTTTGGGTTTGAATGGACCTTCAAAGCTCATCTAGTCCACCCCCCCTGCAATAAGCAGGGACATCTTCAACTAGAGCAGGCTGCCCAGAAACACATCCAGCCTGGCCTTGAATGTCTCCAGGAATGGTGCATCCAGCACCTCTCTGAGAAATCTGCTCCGGTACTTTACCATCCTCATTGTAAAGAATTTCTTCCTCACATCCATCCTGACTGTCCCTAAGCCAAAGATCCCTTCAGCCTTCCCTCCCATTTGCTGGCAGGAGGGAAAAAAGGAGATGCTCTCAGCTCCCCATTAGCAAACATGAACACCGACCATCTCTGCATTAGTTTCTTCCCATTTCCACCAAGATCTGGGTTACACTCCAGACATGCCGAGATCAAGCAGTGTTTAAGGAATTTCAACAATCTGACAGCTGCTGCTGGCAAAAATGCTCTGTGCACCTGCAGAGAGAAACACTTGGGCTGGTCGTCTGCCCCCGAGCAGGAGAGGGGCAAAGGGAGGGCTGGGGAGCTCATCAACACCATGAGTTGGGCTTTGTGCTGGGGCCATCCCACGCTGACTCTGAACATGGACTTCCCAATGTCTAAAACCCTTGTTAAAGAGGAGTGATCCACCAAAAACTACCTGCAAAGGCTTCTCTCCAAGATGAAATGTCCTTTCTTCCTGCCCTTTTTAGTGTTACCCTTTCCCAGCAGCTCAAGGGCTGAAGCTGGGGTGTTACTGAGGGGATTTCACAGTGGTCCAAGGGCTAGCACAGATCAGAGGGGCTCGCTTGTTAACTGCTCCTTACGGGGGCTAAACGGGAGCGATAGAATGACTGTGAGGTTGTGTCTAAATGGGCAAAATCCAAGAAAAATCACCGTGTCAGTGTGACTTAGGAGCTGAGGCTCTCACTAAATGCATTTCACTGCAAGCCATAAAATGCAGATTTTTTTATGAGGACCAGAATGCACAATAAATTCATATGACCGGCTGGTTAACCCCAAGAGAGCTGAAAAACAATACCTTCCCCTTCAGTACCTCAGCGTGCCTTTAAACCCCATGCAGATTTATTGTTCTAAATCACAATACTAAGTGTTCACGCTTAGAATAAGACGATATTATCATCGTATTACAGAGTGATTTCAATATTTCAAAACACACAGAAATGAAATGAATTGTCCAAGGTCACCTGAGAATGTCAGTAAATGGGAGCTGAGACCAAAGCAGAATTTAGAAAACACTATTTTCACCCCCAAATATGTAAAAAAGCACACTCTGATTTATATTCTGAGCCTGAAAGAGGCATGCAGGTCTTCGGGTGTTTGGTTAAACCCTGTCCAGCTCTGGAAGCAGCATTTCCAACACTGCCGATCCCAACGGCCACGGCAGTGCCAGCTCCAGGGCCAGAAGGGACGGTGACCCAGCAGCGATGTGGCCACCAGACACAGCACCATGCAAAGGGGCTGACCGTGCCCAACCACTGGGGAGAAGGAGGTTTTCCTCTCCAACCAGAGAAACTCTTTGGTGCAGGGTCAGGAAGGACTCGTGGCAGGCGAGTGCTGCTGGGGTTCAGGGCAACGCGGGGGGGATTTAGTCTGAAAGGGAAAAAGGCTCTGATGATGCACGTGGTCCCCAGGGGCTCCACCAGCAGTGGTTGCGGGTGAGGATGGGGAGGTCCCCGGCCCCGTCAGCAGTGACAGGCGCTCTAGCAGGGACGGGAGCGGTGCCGGCACCGGCTGTTAGCCCTTGATCAAAGGGACAGCAGCAGAGAGAGGCGCGGCTCGTGCTGGGAAGGTGTCAGCGCAGGGAGGCAGCGGCCCCTCGGGAGCCGCTCCGCTAAGCAGGCACTTGAAAATAATCAATGAGGAGGCCTGGAAGACACAACCGCGCTGTTTGCTGCCGGCAGCCCCTCCGCTGCTGCCGGGAGAGGAAGGACAGTGCTGCAAGCAGGCGCCTTCATCCCCCATGGGCAGTCACCCTCCTCTTCCTCTCCAGTCCCTGCAGGACACAGGCTCCCAGAGCCCACCTCCATCCTCTCCCTCCTCCTTCCCCAGCCAGGGCTCAGAAGCCCTCACAAGGCAGACTCGGTGCCTCTCTGTGGGTGAAGCAATGGCTGAAATTGCTGTTAAGAAGCGAGGGAGCCCTCCTGCCCCGATGAAGAGCAGAAAGCACCATTCCCTTTACCCCTCTGCACAAGAGGGAGGTGATGGAAAGATCTGCAAGATTACCACTTAACCCATCATACCTAATGACATGTGCACAACAGCACTCACATTAGTTCAGTATTTACTGACACAACACCCACACCACTGAAGCAATGCCTGCAGCACACCGTAGCCTCTGCTGGTGTGCCAAAGTCTAGGCTTAATATGCTAGCACATACCTGCTGGCCTGCTCTAACGGATATTTGTGTGCTCTTAGCAAACACCACAGAGCATAAACCTTCACTGAGGCTTAACCCAGTGCAATGGGTTTTCCATGGGCTGAGAGCATGCAAACATCCCATTACAGCAGCCCTGCTGACATGCAGGCACTGAAGCACAGTCCAAGCCCTTCAACAGACACTTACACACGGCGCCCATATTCATCATACGACTGCTTTAAGGAAAGAGGAAAACCACAAATGTTTCACAGACAGGAAACCTGGAAAATATCCATGTGAAATGAGGGATGGGCAGATGAGAACAACGAGCACTTTCTGCCCTGTGAGGAATAATAACTCAGACCAATAAACTGACACAAAGAACTTCACCACGTTGATAATTTACTGTTCTTTCTTCTCTCTACATGGGCTACTGCTCACATAGATCAAGAAAACAGATTAGCAACAAGCACCAAAAACCTCCCAGGTCTTTCAGAACCAGTTACCCTGCTTTCTTTCCCCATCAGAGTTGACATACACAGCATCCCTCTTTCCTCAGCTTCAACCTATTTCACACATGCTGCCTTTTTACAGCTGGCAGAGGCTAATCGGACACTTGGTACAAGTGTTTAGTCTCTTACTCCAAACCACTGGCCAGGCAGTCATTTTGGAGGGTGAAGGCAGGCTGTGAGATATGAGTGTATGCTGGGAAGCCTCCAGCCACTGGGTACCAGCAATTATGTGTATCTGATGGACAGGAGAATCACAGCCCAGGGAGAAAGACCCTTTGGCGTCTACTTCTTTGGCACTCATCTTCTCTGAAGGTAACCCACAGATGTCTGAAGTCCAGGACAAGCAAGCTATCCTGTTTTCATACAAGGAGGTTGAACATATCAAGGGTATCTCTCTAAGAGAGCACAAAGGTGTCATTCACTCCTGGTTGCTTGGGCTGTATGATTTGACTTAATACTTCCCACTTCCTTCATGCTAGGAGCAGCTACTGAAACATCAAGAGAGACTTGTGAAGCTAACAGTGTTTTAAATAAAAACCACTGACAAAGGAAGAACGTATAACTACAAGGTGACAATCTAACACCAGCTTTAGAAACTGGATGAGGAGTTATTGCTTGAAGGGGCTCCAAGAGATCAGCTTGGGTCCACACAGACAGCTAACAGTGGACAGTCAATGGGCAGGTCAGTGGGTATGGAAACATGGTAGTGTTTGCACCTTAATCCTTGCTTATCTGTGCCCAAGGTCACCCCTTCCACATGACATTTTGTGTGCATTCACCAGCAGGCCAGACTTGAGCACATGCAAAGTGTGGATATGGGTTGCTCTGGTTTGCCCTTATAGCTTCATCACATCGCACCTCTGGCAGAGTGAAACCAAACAGTGGTTTTGGCCATTATTTTGGAGAGGAGACCATAAGGCACTGTGACTTCCTCAGCTCAAGCTTTCAGAAGTGAAAACCTGCTTCAGCCACTAACTTCAGATGGAGATGGATGGAGAACCAAGTCAAAATTCAGCCTGGGTTGCTCAGGTCTTCTCCTTCTCATCTTCCAATGAAAGGTTAGCCCGCTTTGGTCACAATACACTGCTAACAGCCTACACAATATAATTCCCCATTAGATAAATAATTGATCACCCTGTGTGCTGCAATTACTTCCAGAGTGGGCAGGTCTCATAAGGAAATGATGAATATTCCACATTTCCAAAAGAATTTATTTAATGTAAAGCTGCTGTAGCTCATTTTCTCACCCTCCTCCTGCTACCCAGAAACTGGCAGTGATTTACAGGCAAAGAGACACATTTATCTGCTATCAAATGGGCTGATCTGGCAGGAACTAACAACAATCCAGAAGAAGGAAGGTGTCATGGCTGGAGAGAGGAACACTTCTCAGTGCTATTAGTCTGAAACTCTCTTAAACTGTACTGGTCCAGAAGAGCAGAAGTCAGTACAGCTTTTACTGGCACTCACCTGACACGGTGAGCCTGGCCTCCCGGCTGAACTTCACATTAGCAATATTGGTAGCAACACAGTGAAAAATCCCACTGTCTTCTGCCCTCAGTCCTGTAATCTGGAGGACTCCCTTGGGAAGCAGCGTGTACCTGTGGGAAGAGAAAAACAGGACCAAAAACTTGCAAAGCAGGACGTGATGCGGCAGCAGGCTGCAGAGCCATGCAGGTGAGGCAGGCTGTCTCCCTGCATCCCTGCATCCCATGCTTATCAGAGAATCATAGAATCCCAAACTGGATTGGGTTGGAAGAGACCTTAAAGCTCATCCAGTTCCAACCCCTGTCACGGGCAGGGACACCTCCCACTAGACAAGGCTGCTCCAAGCCCTGTCCAAGCTGGCCCGGGAGTCAAATCCCTATAACCTGATAACCTCAAATGCATGGAAAGGTGAGTTTAAAATAGTTATTGAGTGGGCACACACAAATATCAATAAATATTTTCTATATCTAAACCATAGGTATATTTAAGTCATGCATGCATACACACATGTATCCATACATTACAGGTTGCTTGGCAACTGTGTGTTTAAGTTGGCTGGTGGTAAGTCAATACAGTGTGATGAGTTAATAATCCATTTCCGTCTGGAAGATGAAGAACATCTTTCTCCCTATCAGCATATGGTTAAGTGCCTATAACCCTGCGCTGGGCTCCGAACGCGCGGCTCGGTGGCGGAGGCAGCGTGACAGCAATCAGTTTGAAACGTCCCCAAGTTGATTGCAATCTCTCTGGGACTTTAAAATGCCCATTGTTTTGGATGAATTATACCACAAGAAGCCTTCATTTTTGTTAACAATCTGCCCACAGCATTAGAAGATTCAATTCCAAAGCTATTATTCTGCCTTCAAAGCCTTCAAGTGCAAGACTCGGCATACAAATTTATATACACTTTATACATAGAAATGCACCAAGCGTGATTAATGCAGAAATCCAATTCAGTTAGAGAAGCAACCCTCATCATCCAGGCCCATTGGTGTCACAGATTAATCTACTGAGCTGACAATAAAAACCTTCCCCAGTAACTTCACTCCTACAAGAAGCTAAATCTGTTCAAAATCAGGACACTGAATGTAGGGAAACTGCTCCCAGTCCATGTCTTCTAGGGCTTGGGCAAGCTTCCTGCCCTGGAGGAGAAGCAAGGGGGTGAGCACAACCTGGGGCTCTCTGGGCTGGAGAAAAGTCTTGGCTCCTCAGCCAGGGGGCTCCTCAGCCTTGGAGAAAAAAGCCCTGGTCACATTCACACACCTGTGACCACAGGCTCGAGTGGAAAAGAACAATAACGCATGAAGGGATCAAGAGAACTTCACCTGTCCTGCACCATCTCATTGGGATGCACATAAGGTGTCAGGCCCAGCTCTGCAGCTCTTACATTTGCTGATACCACCATGGACCAGTTGCCCTGCTTGATCACACCCCCAGGTTAGAACCTGTATGAGTAAGAAGCCTTCAGAGGAGATCAAGTTTGACAAATCAACCCTGCGCTGGGCTAAAAAAAAGCTGGAAAACACGAGGAAAAACAAAACCTGACAGTTGCAGTTTGCCATGGCAGCTTGGGGCCTCTTGGGTCCTTCTACTGTAAGTTCACCACAACACCGAAAAGGTCAGGCATTGTTCCAGCCCTCCTGTTTTCTCCCGCCTCCAAAGAGGAGTTTCTGCTGCAGAACTGACACTTTTAAGAATCGAGGCTTTCAGGAAAATATTTACAGCTTCCTGGTTTCACCTATTCCCAATGCACAGAATCAACCCGTGATCGAGGTGTGCTGCGACCGACTGCCTCCTACCATCGGCTGTCAGCTCCCGAGTCACAGCGGGGACCGCGGGCATGGAGCACACGTTTCCTGCCAGCTGCCCGCTGCCGGGTCCCACTGCTGCTCCGAGGATCAAACCTCTGATGATCAATCCCTGCGATGAGGGATGTTTCCGACACGCAGGGAGCAGCCTGTCAAACACAGGAAGCGAGGACGTGCCGCCCCAGGTCTAGCCCGGGGAAGGGGGGGCAGTGGGGTTTTCCATATGAGGATTATGTTGGGAAGCAGCAGCTCAATGCCCTGTGAGATGCTCTCTGCGGAGCTCCCCTGCCATCATACACAGGGGAGTCCACCTGGGAAGGGAAGTCAAGAGGCCATGGTGTAATTCAGCACTTCCAAGGGTTCAGGACCCACATAAAAGACCCTAAGTCATGGATCTGGCTTGGGAAGGGTTGCACGAAATGGAGCCGCAGAGGGATGATGGATGCCAAAGCTACCCAGCTCTGCCAGGACTACTGGGTGGGCTTTATGCTGGAAAGTAAATCTGGAACAGGGCTGATCAGGGAAGGTCAATGCAGAGCCCTTGACCTCTCCAAAAATGCTTTACCTACCTCTCCTGAGACATGCATTATTTCCACACGGTGTTTGCCCAGAAGGAGCCCAGAAACCTCACAGCATTAACTAAGAGTCTTCCATGGCAGGAACACTGATCAAGACCCTCAGCCCAGGTTAACTGTGTCCTAACACAACTGTGACAGCAATAGCAAGCCTGGCCACCTTTTTCCACCTGGAGAAAGAGCAGCAGTACATGTCCTACCTTTCATTGTCTGTGTTGACTGGCATGCGGTTCTTTTGCCAGAGGATGACCGGCTCTGGCAAGCCATGGATCTGGCACTGGAATCTTGCTACACCACCTTCCTCCACCACTGCGTTCTGAGGGTGGATGTGGAAGTCGGACATGGCTGGAAGACAATAAGAGAGACAAAAATATTCACAGGTGAGGAGAGATCCATTGTCAAGAACTCCACGTGACCTAGAAACATCCGGATTTCCCAGAGCTGGCAAATGGGATGGCGATGCAAGAACAGAAGACTGGTTTGCAGCCTCACTTCCTGCATGGAGAAACAAGACCAGTGTCAAGTTCTTGCTACGTGTCTGCCCCTGCACATTAAACTGATTGACTCAATCAGGGCAGAAGACAGTGCTTCACGACACACATGCTCTACAGTGAGGTCTACAGGGGCAGCAAGACACACAGACACTGCACTGGCTGTGCTCCACAGCCTGAGTGCCTGAGTAGGCTTTGGATCCAAGAAAAGAGATGTTTATGCTTTCTGCTGCTGCCAATGTCTTACCTGCTGTAAATGTTCTTCTGATGTGCACCGCCTGACTGCTAAACTCGTTTGGTTTAAATGCCTTGACCAAAAGTGGTCCTGGATACTGAAAGCAAAACTTACAGCCCTTCATTTCCCCCTCAGTTTGGCGGATGCTCCAGCTCACTGCAGACTCTGCCTCCCAGCACTATGGAAGGAATGGTCACATCTCCATGCTGCGGAGCAACAGGCTTCAGCCCATAGAAAGAGCATCTGCCAAGAGCTCAGCAGTGCAGCAAACCAAAGCTTTTGGGGTTGGGACCACCCGACAGCTAATGACAAACTTCAGCGTGCCCCTGCAGGGTGAACGCAGACCAGCCTGTTCCAGCATAGCCACAGCTGTAACCATTGTGCACAAGGGCTCCGGCTTGCTGTTAGAGCTACATAAATAATACAGTAATTATTACTATTAATTAATTGGAAGGTGCTGCCTGTTGACTCTGCAATAAACATATTCGAAGCTAATAAACATCCCCGTGGTTATTCAGCTCATGATTCATTTACAGCGCTGCATCCCAGGAAGATCTCACATTATCATACAAAGCAAACTCCAAGAGAACCCCCTGCTCTGCCACCCCAGCTCGATAATACCCCTCTCCCCAGCAAGAAAGCCTCACCCCCTTTTACATGCATCAAGCATAATGAATGTACTTCTGCTAAGGAACAAGCTGCATATGTGTCAGGGCAGCTTAATCATTCATCTGCAAACTCCAGTTGGGCTCAGGCAGATGGGAGATGGCCATTAGCAATCATACATTAAATATGGGTTGCATTAACCCGCGCTGCTCCCACAACCACTGCTCTCAACCCGCTCACTGCAGGTTTGTTAAGCTGATGGAGCAACACGGAGCAAAGCTCTGGCCCTGCGTGGCCGTAGGGATGGGGAGGTTTTTGTAGCTGTGAGGGTGGGATAAGGAGCAAGACACGCACTGAGATGCACTGATTGGAGCAGGACCAGGAGGTGGCTGTGCGATGCTCCAGCCCGATGGGAACACACCAGCACAAGGCAAAGATCATGCAAAATGATACCTTTCCCAAGATGAAAGCTAATGCAAATATCCCGGTAAGGGATGGAGCCCGGTGGTGGAATGGCAATTTATCCAATTCACACAGATTTAGCCTTGAAATGAGACTGTGGCCCAGAGGAATCAGCCACGTGGGAAGGAGCCCAAAGGCTGCCCAGGTGATTCCCTTTCCAAGCTGACAAAGGATGCTCCAAAAAATGATGGATCCAGGGGTGCCTGTGGCAGGAGGACTCAAGGGACCCTGTGGAACATTTCAAGGCTGCCATTCGGAGACCCAGGCCAGGGCGAGCATCTTGCAACCAAAGCGTATGGACCCACACCAAGAAATAAACCCAAGAATGAACAAGAAGGACACAAACCTCTAACAAAGAAAGAAAGGGGGGAGGAAAAAGCAGCAGAGATTCAGATGCCTGCAGGAAAACTCCTTTCAAATGTACAGATGCTCAGTGCTGAGGTTTTTCGGTGGCTGACAGGGTTGCTAAGAGGAGGGAGGTGTGAATGAGAGCAGCCCCGGCACAGACTTTGCTCTGCTGGCTACAGAATTCATTGCCAGCCCTTTATTTCAATCATATCACCTCTTACAGGTAAAACTGCAGCAATAACCTCTACTCTTAAAGACACTAGTATTAATATTTATCATGAATAAAACATGGGAAGTTATAAATAATTCAGTTATGAGGATGTTAAGTAAAATACTACTCTTCAACGACCCTATAATGTGGCTTTGAAGCACAGTTTTATGTTAAATGCCTAGGAAACACTCTGACCCTTGCCAAGACCAGCTGGTTTGCAGAAGAGGCATTAAAAATTCATGCACTGAGCTACAAAATGCCATTCTTAAAACAGGTTTCTGAGTTTATTTACAGTTGCAGAGACAAAAGCTTTTGCAGCACCTCCTGTACAACAGCAACAAAACTCGAGCACGTGTGCTTACCTGTGATGCTGTCTTCAGCCTGCAAATAAATCCCTGGGTGTAAGCAGAGGAGAGGGATAGGAGCACAAGTGCTTTACAGAGCATCGCCTGGCTAAATCTCTGCTGACCCACCTGAGATTTTCATGGATGCCCCAACTGACTGTAACAAACTCCTACAGCGGAGTCCTTGCTCCAGGCAGGGAAAGACAAACCAAAATGGGCTACAGGAATGGATGGGGAATGGTCCCACAGGAGATGGGGAATGGTCCTAGCAGTCCTCACACACTGCAGCCATGGGTGAGCCTTATTTCAAAGATGCTGGCCAAGGTTAGATTCACACTGAGCTGTCTACAACCACACTGACACATGAGGTAGAGGAGTTCCTCTTCATCCCTCCTTCCCCCACACTGTATCACAGAGGACCGCAACCAGGATGAAGGTGGATCACAGGTGAGGCTCTTCCCTAAAGAGAGCCTCATGCTTGGGAGCTCCCATCACCTAACCCTCACCAGGATGCAGTCTCCAAAGGCATGTCCTACAGACACAGCACAGGTGAGCAGCAACTCATCCTCATCCATATTCACAGAGGACTCGTTCTGGCAAAAGACTTTGCTGGGTCTCCCCTAATCAAAGCACAAACACTGCCTCCATCCTAATGGGCCCTGTGAAAGGCCAAAGGAATGAAAACGAAAAGAGGTATTGAGTGAAATTTTCTCTACTCTGTGAAAAACTAAATTGAAACCATTAGTGGCCAATCCTTTTCTGCTCAGTACAGCATTAGTGCTAAGCTGGAGATTGACCTAGATTTGATATAGAAAAAGAAAACATTAACTTGGTATGTCAGAGCAAATCCCAGGCCTGTTAGAATCATTAAAACACAAACATTATTATCAACTGCAGGTACAAGGAGAAGACTTGAAGGGTTCAGTGCCAAGCATGGTGTTAGGAGAGCATTTAGGGAGCTCAGCTAGTTCTGCTTTTTGCTTTTACGTTACTTATGGGGTAACAGATAGCCAGGCTGGCTCTGACACAAGAAGATGCTGGGGAGAAGCTGAGCATCCTCACCACCACTGACACCAGGCAACCCACAGGTGAGCCCCCTTCTCTACATTTCTGCCACTAACCTGTTAAACTCAGACCTGTTCCAATGAAGGCACAAAGTTAAAATGCCTCAAAGTTAACACAATATACAAGGAACAAGAGTTTAATGGGGACATGCTTCTAGTACCTGGGATCCTACATGCCCCTACCAAGGAGAGCAGGCTTTGTTAGCTCCATTACAACTGATCATGGTGAAGCTGGGGAGGGAAATGGTCTGCCCAGCGCCAGAGAACAAGCCACGGACAGAGCCAACCCCTCCAAGACTGGCTGCATCCTGATGATGGTGACAGCTGCTGATTTTCATACCGAATTTCCATACTTCCAATAAAACCAAATTTCCCATTGGTTTAGCAGAAGCCAGGGCCATTTTAAAACAGAATGACCACCATGCCAATTAAACCCAGACCTAAACCACTCTAAAATCAGGCTGACAGCTCCAGCAGAACCAACCTGTGGTATCTATGAGATTTACTAAGCACCCACCCTCCTCGGCACCACAACTCCTACCCAAACGCTTTTGCTGCAAGCCACCAGCCCCAAAGCACGCAGAGGGATTAAATCTTCCATTCCCTCCTGGCTTAAGAGTCCTTCACCATTAAGTTAGCAACCTGATGGGGAATATTGTCAAAGAATCATAGAACCATAGAATTGTTAGGGTTGGAAAGGACCTTAAGATCCTCCAGTTCCAACCCCCCTGCCATGGGCAGGGACACCTCACACTAAACTATATCACCCAAGGCTTCATCCAACCTGGCCTTGAACACTGCCAGGGATGGAGCATTCACAACCTCCCTGGGCAGCCCATTCCAGTGCCTCACCCTAACAGGAAAGAATTTCCTCCTTAGATCCAATCTAAACTTCCCCTGTTGAAGTTTTAACCCATTACCCCTTGTCCTGTCACCACAGTCCCTAATGAAGAGTCCCTCCCCAGCATCCCTATAGGCCCCCTTCACATACTGGAAGGCTGGAAGGCGAATATTTTCAGGAGGTGAAGGCTTTGCAGACAGAGGTCCCTTCCACACTCTGCAAAGGGAAGAACTGCCTGCTAGAAAGAGCAGGCATAAAAGATGGGGGGCGTATGGACACCACAAATCCCATCCTCTCCTCTCTTCCCCCTGCTTCCAAGCGGGGCCGTTTTCCCAAGTCTTTAAGGACACGGCATCTCCTTCCCATACATTTCTCTCTTTTTAAGGATGCATTTTCAGGCAGATAAAGAAGCCCCATCACAAGAGCCCGGTGGCTGCTCCAGCTGCAGAGCAGCCTCCGCGCCCGCGAGCCGGCCCTGCGTGTCTAATGCCGCTATTGTGCGAGGCTGCCGTGAGCCCAATTTTGAATGCAAGTTGCTTTGTGCATAGTGAAGCGTGAACAACAGCGCCGCCCATTTATCTATTTAATTCTCCAGGAGTAGCAGGAGCTGGGGCCTTCGCTCACATCTAAAGGGAAGAAAAAATCCCCTTTCTCTCCGCTTTGGAAAGGGAGGGAAATGTTAAAGACCGGCCGTGCCTCTGCCAGCGCAGAGGAAAATCCTGCCCGCTACCCATAGGGGTGAA